CTTTGAAAGAGAACAACACGTGGTCCCTTCAAGAACTACCTCAAGATAGAAAAGCCATACCGTGTAAATGGGTTTATAAAATTAGGAGAAACCCCGATGGCTCTATCGACAAATACAAAGCGCGTTTGGTTGCGAAAGGTTTCAAGCAACGCAAAGGAAAGGAAAGGAAAGGAAAGGAGTTGACTATCAGGAAACCTACAGTCCTGTAGCCAGATTCTCCACCATTGTCCACGAGTGATGGAGTTATTAAAGAATCAAAGGATACGACCGATATTACGGCGAAAGTGGTACGGAGGCGACGGTCTTCAGATTATGGTGAAAATCTCGCGGTGGAAGGATTCCGCGGGTTCGAGAAAGTGCCGCTCGTGGTTCTAACCCGTTATGACATAACACCGTACATAAAAACAGTAAAAAATAATAACAAAAACAACGATAAATTGGACTCTTAAGATTCTTCCTTACATTCTGAGCGGCTGGCTCAAAAATGTGTAGTCAAACTTGTCAATCAAGACTTGGATGGACTAAAGGAAGCTTTAGTGAACTTACGGAAGCGTCAATTATCTACTGATTCAGCGTTTGACTCTGAAAACGACGCCATGGCCAGCATTAAATGTAAAATATGTGAAAAGGGCTATTCTAGTGAAAAGACGCTGTTAAAACATAAGGGAAAATAAGCATATGATCGTGTACAAACCTCATGACAGACCTCAGAAGAGAGTCTCGTTTTCAGATCATGTAATAGTCCACGAAGTAAAAGAGAACCATAAATGCAGGAAGTGCCCAAAGATATTTGATGCTTACAAACTTTTAAAATTGCACATGAAAGAACGGCACAAGAAACGTAAATGCTACATTTGCAATTACTGCAATAAAAGCTTTGTTGACCGTACCTTTTTCAAAGTGCATATAAAGCTACACTGCGATGTTTGCGGTTTGTGGTTACCGAATAAACTTAAATATACGGAACACAAACGTAATGTATGTCGCATTTTAAAATTACACAAGTGTAGAACTTGTAACGAAACTATTTTAAATTCATGGACTTAAAATACCATAGTTATGAACATATAGTAAACTGTTACGTATGTGATGTAAGTAAATGTGAAATTGTCCACCATATCTCTTTTCTGCACTCAAACAACAGACCAACGTCATTATACTCAATGCGTAATTTAGGCAACGAGAGATTATATTTGTGCAATTATTGTGATGAAAGTTCAGTTGAACGAGATGTGATAGAACATCATGTACAGATGCTACCGGATTTATCAAATAAAGCAATGACGGGATATAAAGATTACTATTTCTGTGACCAATGTATGAAAAAGTTTCATACGGAAACTGATATGCTACAGCATAAATGGACACACTTGTGGTTAGAACTTCATCGAATGTTCGACGGAACCAATGAAGACAGGACCTTCCAGCTATGTACGAGTTTCTTTGGATTAAAAAAGGATCCAGCTGACGACGCAGCAACTCATATGTCGAAATTGAAAAATATTTGGACAGCCGAGATACAACCTAAGAGATAGAAGCACCATTCATCCTCCTCAGAAGTACAAAGATTGTTGTGCACTTACCGATGAAGAAACTGAACCCGCTACGTTCAAAGAAGCTATGAAGAGCCCGCATAAAGACGAGTGGATAAAAGCTATGCTTAAGGAGATAGATTCTTTGAAAGAGATTCTTTGACAAGTAAAGTTTGTGAAAATATTGCATTATTCATAGATCGTTTTTATGTCTAGATAGCGTATCTTATCGTTACTACAAGTCAACTATTATGTTATTTATTTAAAAAATTATTAGTTCATCACACTGGTGTACAGTTGACACACACGTCGGTATTTAGCGGCCAACTGTTGGACACTATTTTTTTCGACGCTAGAATGACAGCCTATCTAGATATAATTTCACAGATGATTATTGTTATAGAGATCGTTCTTACAGTATAGAGTACATTGACTCGTAACAGTAACATTTATATCGATTCTGCGCATCACTATCGATACTAACGCTTTAAATCGATTACTGTCTAATCAATATCGAATCATCATTTAACTAGTGATCATACAAGTTTGATTTAATGTTTATGTTTCAAGTTAAAACACTATAATAGTTGAATTAGAAGTAAATAAGAAATAAACGGTGTACATAATTTTGTTGTTGTTCTATTAAAACTGACCACTCGTAATTAAGTTTTGATACCTTTAGACGTGATGGTGAGTGAGTACCGCTGCCCATAGACACCACTTATGAGACAAGTGTGTCGCCGCACCGCCGCCGAATAAATGCGTAGGACCCCGAGTAATGGGGTGGCGATTTGATCTGGACCCCTCGGACTCATAGCCCGGGAACCAGGTATACCCTAGAAAGAAAGTCGTGATCTTTACCCCTGGTAACCTTACTCACTTTCCGTGAAACAGAGGCCTGGCTCTCCCACATCAAAGAACTTTAAGAAGTTAAGGTCAAAGCTTTAAACGGGTAGAAAATAGGTTTTAGAAAAACGTGTAAAAGTATATAAAGCGTAAAGTGATTTTGACATCAAAAGCTTGTTTTTATTCCATGAAACCAAACCATATGCTTGAACAATTTCATAACGATCATTCGATAGGTAGACACCATTGTAGGCCGAACACAATCTATAAAAAAAATATGTGATGGATATTTGGCACTTACCAAGATGTCTAGTAGGTCCGATTCGAAGGCGGCAACTTCGGCCACTGTGTGGACAGACGGATTGTTGATGAGGAGGAGTGGGTGTGGCCGCGCAGAACTTTAGTGACGCGATACGACGATAAACCAGTCTATCATGCGTAGTCACACCTGCCGCGATAGTTTTACTCCAAAGAGCGCGGTTCGCAGACTCCTTTTCGCAGCTGTTCGGGTTTATCTTGAAGGAAACAATGTCTCGTTTACTACCAACCTTCGTCCGTTGTTTCCTCATGGACCAACTATGTATGCACAACTAGCTGTGTCATGAGGAAATTTTTTTTAAAAATCATTCCTATTGGCACAACTAAATAATTTTCAATTAATATTTGTTCCTAGATGCACAACCGATTACAATCGGTGTACAAAGGTTCATCGTTATGGTTATAAGTTCTTCGTCTTCTGGCGTACACTTAGACATGCTTACAGTCAGGATATACGCCAGCGTATGCACGAAAATAATATATCAATATTTTTTAAATAATTACTGATAATAAATGACATGAAATGGCATTTATAATTTTCTATTTGTTAATATACAAAGATATGACAGAAGTGGCCAACATAATCATCAATATCTGAAGAGGTTAGTAATAATCTTATTTATTTCCTCCTGTAGTTGTGCTAAAAGGAATGGTTATAGTAAATCAGTTGTGCTTAGTTGTGCATAGTTGTGTCATTAAGAACATATTCTGGGATGGCACAACTAGTTGTGCGTACATAGTTGGTCCATGAGGAAAACGGGCCTTCGTCTACCTTTAAGCGGAGTACAGGACGACCGACAAGGCGTTTAATATTTGCAATTTCTTCTAAGATAATTTGTCTGGGTAGACGAGAGGGCTTCATCCAATTTAAGTGCCAAGCCATCGCAATCGCCTCTGCTCTAACATACCAGATATACTTGGCAATCCTGCGTTTCCGAGCACTGTCTCGTTTGTTACCTTATCCCTCTATTAAGGGGCCAAAATGCGTCGAAAACAACGCAAATGGAAGCTGTTTAACTTCCGCTCCTGTTTGGCATATGATGTCCAGGTCTCAGAGTATGGAAAAGATGCATGTTTAGACATCCTCATCAAAATTTCCTTTTAACTAACTTTCTTCACTTCCAGAAATATCTATCATTACCACATCAAAATCTTGTGGCGACTTCTACATACGATACAATGAACCAAAAGTCAAAAAAACATATCTCAGTACTACGAATTAAAATATTTCGAATAATTTCGAAGTTATTTTTCATAGCCTCAGTACCATCTGACGAAGTCACACCGAACTACGGAGTAACTGCTTATCATGTATGCGATATTAATAATTCTTACGACGATTATATACACAACTCAACTTACCAACATCAACCTTTGGGCATTGGCCCGCCAGCATTTTCACCTCGCCGCCTTGTCGATTCTTTTTCATTTTCACCTTTAATTTAGTAAATTTTTACATTACCCAATTGTTTTATAATTATAATATAATAACTGTTGTAAATTACAGTGGGTTTGGGTATGTTGTAGCAAATAAACTAAGATTCAAGTGCTTTCAACGAAATGTAATACAATACTGACATGTACAATACTTTGAGCAGAATAAAGAAAAGAATTTAAAAACACTAATTCTCTTTTGCTTTTTACTTTTCTATTCCATTTTCGTTTTGACGCTGTCACACATGAGGTTGTAGAAAAAAGGTTTGTCAATTGATCAATTCTCAACACTCCTCCTTGATCAATTTACAACGTAGCATCAGGTAAGAACAAGTACGGAGACCTGTGAATATTAACAGTTAGACAAAATATCATTTATAATTCTTAGAATCAGGTGGTAAACATTATTTATTTATTTACAACTTTATGCACTTGTACATATCGGCGGACTTAACGCCCAGGGCATTCTCTTCTAGCCAACTTTTGTGTGGTGTAGACATCAGGTGAGGTAGGTGTACTAAGGTTACAGTTTTCATAGTAGTTATATAGTTTAAACTAACATATACAATATATACAATAAAATAAATACACATAAATACATATACTTTATTTTCGTACACTGTAAAAAGGGAGGTGTACTATTGTACTATTGAGTAGGTAATTCTGTGAACTGAAGAAGGTAGTTATGTAGGTACATAATCATTGCACTGTTATATCATAAACAGACGAAAGACGTTCACTGCTGGACAAAAGCCTCCCCCAAGGAACCCCACATTACTCTGTTTACCTTATTATATGTTGCAAAAAGCATGTAAGTACCTAAGTATGAAACATATAAAAAAAAAACTCTTTATAACGTTTAAAGATGTTTTATTGACCCTTAAAAAGTGTAAGCTTATTGTAGAGCTGTCGTTTGGTTTCAGTCATGTTTGATTTTAGAAAATACTTTACACGTATATCAACGTATTTTTGAATCACAGCCCGCAGTAGGTGTACAAGATGATTGCTGCATGCTTCTTGTTCGAACGAGTGACCATAGAGAACGTTGAAAACATCAGAACCGATAAATAACTTCAGTGCTTTCATCACCATACTTTTAGGATCGCGATCAATAGGCTTTTTTGCGTCAATGTTGCTTTTTACAACAGATTCAGTGGTATTACAAATTTTGACTACGTCCTCGGATGGGTAGACGAGACTACCTCTGTCTTTGAATACGATAAAACTATGGTGCGACTGGGTTTTTGACGCGACTAGGGCCTGGATACAATCGGTGCAATCCAATTTTAATAACAAGTATCTGACTACATATCCAGCAATATATGACACAACTTGTTGCGAGACTTTTGTTAAATCAATTGAGAAATTTGCTGGCTCTTCCTCAAAGTTAGCCAATGATTGTACATTAACCATATCAATCTGTGAATTTGATCTGTATCCTTTTGTAGTCAAATTTATGTGATCAGCCGAGGATGAACAAGTCAATAAAGTAATGTGCTCCAGAGGAACACAATTTCCTTTAAAACTTTGTTTGAGTTCCATGTGAACAAGCAGTTTCTTATAAATAGCTTTGAATTGTAGTGCTGACGGATTATTATTGAAACCACCATGAGATCGGACTACAGAAAAAAAGATCTCCAGGTGATCTTGACTAACTTTGTACATGGGTATAAATTTTAATATTTTTTCTTCTTTTACCAGCCTCTGATACAAATCCTTCAAGCTGTTCATGCATACACACATTCCTAAAAAACCTGTTTTATTTCTTGAGGTTATCAATTTCTGCTCGTCTCCGGGAACCGCTAGATGTTTCAAATATACCTCTGTTTTTTCAAGAAATGTCAAATATTTAGTTTCATTTTTCTCATTTATTGGCGCTTTAAAGTCTATTCCGGGAAATTTCCTGGAATTCATTATATCAAAAAGATTATTTATAGTATTTATAAATTGAACTGTTGCTTCAGAGTTTTTAAAATTCAAAATTTGTAATTCTTTATCGCAATATTCTATAGCTCTCGCAACACTACCGCTTAGTAATTGAACAGCTAACTTCACCTTCATCTTTTGATTTTTGAAATCGATGTGTCGTGTAGTTAATTTATTTGCAAGATGAAACATTTCGTTTTTTTGAAGGGTATTTAAATCTACGAAGTATTGCCATTTAATAAAACCTCCATTGCTATCTTGAAGTACTTTTTTATTTTCTAAAGTATTTCTAATAAGCTTTATCATATGACAGGGATCCAGAAATATTGAAACTGGTTCGCTGGTTGTAGGGTGTGGAAAGCTGGTTTTTAGTTGACCTTGGTATTGGTGTTCAAATAAACAACCAAGCTCCCGAGACATGGCGATGTTTGATGGACAACCGTCAAACGTCATTGACGCCACTTCAATCCCGGCATCGTGACAGTTAGATAGGCACATTTTAACTAAATTGGCTCTTTGCTCACCTGTAAGGCCGTTAACCAGAAAATATCCTACTGGCAGTTTCCATGGTTCATTAATCGCTACCAAAAGGAATACAAGAGACTGTGTGCATGGTACTGACAAGTCCCCAGGTTCGTCAAATTCAGCACCGAAATCTACATAACCATGCACGATATTGCCGTCATATTCCTTTATTTGACGAATTGACATTTCGTCAATCACCAAGTTGCACAGGATTTTTTTGTCAGATGTTTTTGCTTTTTGAGACATTACTTTAAATGCTTCAGCGGTGAAGCCTGGCCCAGCATCAATGGATTGGTACCATTTCCTCAACGTACTCGGGTGTGGCAAACACGTATTGAATGTACTTCTTATGTACGAATATGCTTTTGGAGAATAAAAGTGTAGTGTAAGTGCGAACTTGCGCAGTTCGGCTGAGTACTGCTTTGTTTTTTTTACCATTCTCTTGATAAGTGCTGCTGCAGATACATTACAGACTTCGAGAAGGTTGACTTCTTCTTGATTAATTAATCTTTTATCTTTTAGTTCACTTAACATTCGAGATACGTCCTTCACCTTCTTCTTTAAACGTCTACGTGATGCATACAATGCATTACACCGTAAACGGCGGCGTTTTGCTATATCCTCCAAATGAATTATTCGTTGTTTCAGCCTTTGCTTTCTTGGAGTGTCAGGGATATTCAGGTCAGGGCGTATTTGTTGGTTAGTGGACGTTGACATATGTTCTACTGCTTGTACTACATTCTGTGAAGTTGAAGGAACAGCCGGAAACGCCTGATAGCCAGAATACTCATTACTTGAATGAAGAAAGAGTGAAGGTACAGCATTATTCACTAACCTTCGAAGTCCACTTTTGGTTTCGTACCTCAAAAACTCTTCGGTTGAGTGGCTTAGTGAGAATGTCTGCAATCTGCTTGCTGCTCTCGACGTGTTGCAATATCACAGTGTCGCCAACATGTTGCTGGATGTACTTTCGTGGTATTTCAACGTGTTTCTTTCCTCTGGTTATCTTTCCTTCGTGTGCGTTCTGTAACATGTGAATAGCTGACATGTTATCGACTTTCAGAGTGATCGGCTGATCATTTTCCAAGATACCAAGTTCCAGTGCAATTCTCTTGATCCAGCATACATCGTCAATCACAGACACCGCGGCTCGGTACTCTGCTTCTGCAGTTGAAAGTCGCTACCAAACGCTGCTTCTGTGAGTACCAGATCACTGGTCCTCCTCTCATCACCAACACTCCACTCGTCGACTGTCCTGTCTCCGAGTCTCCTCCAAAGTCTGAATCAGTATATGCCACGAGGTCTTTGCCTCCTCCGAAGTAGATTCCTGCTGTCGCTGTCCCTCTCAAGTACTGGAACACACGTTTCACCATCGCCTGATGGCTTTTCATGGGGTTGTTGCAGAATCGACTGAGATAGTTCACCAGTTCCCAAGTTTTCATTTCCATTAACGAGTCTTACTCCTCCTGCATTGCTTGTTTCCACTTCTCATCTTTGAGTGCTTCACTCACCGTAATGTCTTCCGTTTCACCAATCATGGCTACTTTTGCGCTCTTTCCTCCACGTCTGGAGTCAAGTACGCAGTCTTTCAGTCTCGGTGGAGGTTGCAAAGTTCGACGATCTCGCAAAATTCTTCTTCCTGGCTCTTCAGACGGTTGTGTCCCATTTTCGTTATTAGTCTCCTCAGCACTATCTCCAGTTGTCCAGTTTTCCTCTTCTTCGTCTGACTCACTGCTGCTTTCTTCTTGCTTCTCAGGTGTGCCCTCTGTTGTCGATGTCTCAAGTTCAGTACCTTGCCTCTGTCGTATCTTTTCCTCGTCGAAGATTACATTGTCTGAAGTGACTACTTCTCTCTTCTCTTTCATATAAATCCTGTAGCAGGGCGAATCGATGTCATAGCCAACCAGAATTCCCTTTTCTGATTTTCTATTTATCTTACCTCTCTTCTGTGCTTGAGTCAGTACATAACATTCACATCCAAAATCATCAGGTCAGGCCCAGATATTTCATCTGGGCCTGATCCTCGACGGGAGGGGGCTCTTCGACGAGCCCTTCCAACAGCTTGCTCCAAAGCTGGTCGACGCTGCGTCTGCTCGCCGAAGTATATCGGCGGACGGCTGGTTTCCGGGCGGATAGTGGCAGTCGGCCCCCGCCCGAAGAGATGAGCGAGTGGCGTGAGGCCGCTCGCCGAGCCACGATGGCTCGTTGGTCGTCCCGGCTAGAGGCTCCACGCTCCTTTGCCGCCGTGGAGGCGCTTCAGCCGGTCATCGTCGAGTGGGCAGGGCGGCAGCACGGGACCTTTTCCTTCCGGCTGACGCAGGTCCTTTCCGGGCACGGCTGCTTCGGGAAGTACCTGCACTCGGTCGCTAGGAGGGAATTGAGTCCCGCCTGTCACCACTGCGATTGCAGTGAGGACTCGGCTCAGCACACGCTGGCAATTTGCCCGGCTTGGGCGCCGCAGCGCCGGGTCCTCATTGCAGTCATCGGGGAGGATCTCTCGCTACCGGCCGTCATACGCTCCATGGCCGGTAGCGACAGATGTTTTACCGCGGTAGCATCCTTCTGCGAAGACGCCATCTCGCAGATGGAGGCGGCGGAGTCGGCCCGGGAGGACGGCCTCCACTCGGACCCAATCCGTCGCCGGCGAACCGGGCGGCGGAGGCGCGCTTTTCACCGCCTCATGCCGCCCTGAGTGTGGCCGCGGGTGGACGGGATGGGTTTTCCCCTCCACCTGCCATAACGGCCAGCCGCGAGGAGGCGACGTCCGCGTGTGCCGGACGTCGCCTAAATAGAGAATGTACCCGAAGGTGGTGCCCGCATCGTTGCGGGCAGGCGCTAGGAGGGGTCCGGAGGTCCTAATAACAGCAGTTCCCGGATTCCTCCTATTATAGGCGCAGAGTGGCACACCGTGTGGTTTTAGTCGGTCCGATTCCAACACACCAACCCGCCGTAAACCCCGTAAAAATAGTGTTTAGGGTTTTTTATGTTTAACAATGAATAAATAAAAAGTAAAAAAGAGGTTCAAGTTTTTTTATTTATAAGCACCATAATTCTTAAAAGCCAAAGAAATAATTCAAAACGCACTATCATTAATTCCAGTCAGTGTGAAGATTAAATGAACCACCTGTATATTACATTTGGCACTTAGGACAATTAATGAATGATGATGAAATGTAACGGTCCCTTTGTGCTGTGTCTGATATGTCTAATATGATATATCTGTAATGAGATAGTGGCCTATCTCCACATTTGTAATTTTTGTTCTATCTCCATACAAAATCTGTAAAATAAGGTACATTTAGTTACCATCAGTAGATAAAAATTATAAGAATCAATTCATTGGTATCTCATGTATTGAGAAAGACTTTCAAACTTTGAAACTATCTCTTTTATTTTCAATAGGACAAAAAGCTTCGTCCTCTAAAATTCACCCAATGGTAGATAGGACAAATAAGCACTTAAGCGATGAACTGGAAAAACCACGCCGTAAGTTGAGAAAGTTGTTAAATAAAGCAAAAAAACTCCCGACTAGACCAACACTGGGATGCCTATACGCAGGCCTGGCAACAATACAAGAAGCGTATCAGAACCAAGTAAACTGTTTTCTCTGCATCACCTAATGGTTGACTGGTAGAGAATGCCTTAGGTATTAAGTCCGCCAATGCACCAAATGTGCATGATGTGTAAATAAATAACCAGAAAAACTGAGTGCTGGAGAAGCTTCTGTACTAGAAGATAGAGACTACTATAGAGAATAACAACCAGGCCAACAAAGTCAAAAACATATTGTGTAGCAGAGGCGAACACAATCTTTGCTCACTGAAAAAGCCTGATGGTAAGTATACCAATACAGACACAGAAGCTTCAGAACTGTTATAAAAAACACACTGCCCAGGATGTCGACAATTTTGTCGCGAACTTGAGGGCGGACAAAAATGTCACCTAGTTGTCACGAAGCTACTTGCGCCCACCTTCATATTAACTCACAGTCTGGACTAGAGTGACAAAACAGTCATAGTGACAAAAGTCACTCGTGCACTCACTAGACAGGGGACAAAATCACAGTGAACTGTGATTTATAATTCCATTTTTTTCGTATGTAGATTAGGGTTACTACTTACTCATGCGTAATTGCCAAAAAGCTGTTTTCAGACGATGTATAAAGAATAGTGTCTTCATTCGCCTATATAATAGTAAATCTAGTAATTATTTTATTATATATACAGCTACTATTCCCTAAATAATAATTAAAAAAATAATAGATTTACTGTTAAATTGCGTCTATCCTACCTACCTAGCACCCCTAACCTACGTGCGCAAAAATCGAATGATAAATCACAGTTCACTTACTGTGATATTATCCCATGTCTAACGCGCACCTCTAAAAGTTTTGGCAACACTGAACACTGAAACTGTTTAGTTGTCAAACGCCATTTTCTACAGCTAGGTTTTGCTAGCTGAGTTTATTATTATTGTCTTTTTATCAATAATATTAATGGTCAGTGGATCGTTCCTATAGGCTTATTTCAAAAAAGTCTTTATACAGTTATAAATAACTCATGAATGATTAATACAACAACTCTTCTTGTTTAAAAGTGAACTTCCTGTGGGGCTTTTAATGTTTTAATATTTTTATGATTTTATCGTGGTAGATCATGTCTGTGAGTGAGAAAGTTTCGTTATCGGACGCTCTGAGCAATGTGGATGTGTTGGACGAGCTTACATTACCAGGTGAATACGTATTTTAGTTATTAATTATGATTCATATTGTCTTAAGCAGTAGGTGGGGCCGATATAGATAATTACGAAAGGATGTGTTTTTTGTATCTATGGAGGGTTATTACCTAGGCAAATACTGCTTTTAATAAGTTTAGTCTAATCAAATTAGTTCATCACAGTCAAATATTGGTTACACACACACATTTGTACAATTTTAGACTTGTTTTTTGTTGCAGTAGGTATTTTTTAAGTTTGTATTGTTTTTATAGTATTTTAGTCTCCCCTTGTGAAATATTTTCCCATTTTCTAATGTGAGAGGGGTGGGCCTCCTGGCCCATAACATAGGTGTCCTAGTTTGTGCTCCTGACACCCACAATTATTTTACTTCAAATGGAATGATCTAAACATTTTTATGTAGTAAAAAAAAAACAAAATAATATTGTAATTTGCCAATCCATAGTACACCTTATATTCTGGTATACATGTATGAATATATGTATATTTATAAATATATTGTTTTATTTATTATGTGATGTGTTGTATATGTGTATGTATAAGTTTATGTATATAGTGAACGGTGTACCTACATTTTCATTGATATGTAACCTCTGTGCACCTACCTTATATGATTTCTACACCATCCAAAGGTTGACTGGTATTTCTCTACCTCGAGCATTAAGTCCGCCCATGTACAAAAGTGCATAAAATGATGATATTTTTTTTTGTGTGATTGAAGTAAACATTATTAAGACCTAATCTGTGGAACAAATTGTCACCTGCTGTTTTCCTGGACCGGTACAAACTCCTAAGTCAGAAAAGAGTGTACTTCTTCCTCAAAGTCCAGCAACTGAGTTGAGGGAATCTTAAGTTTCAGGTATCCATGGGCTGTGATTATCACTTGCCATCAGGTAACCATTATGGGCCTCAATTCTGCTATTTTAATATTGTATTAATATACTGTTGATGGAATGTTGTAGGAATAGTTTTGCACTTTTCCTATTCTACTAACTATGTAAGATCAATGGCCTAAGGAAATGAAATGATATTTTAATTCTGTAAGTAAATCTTTTCAGATATTTTTACAAGTCGGACTTTACAGCTAGATGGAGCCGGCATTTCCTAAGACTCACTCTGGGAAGAAACTCCAAAACAAATACCAGAGGTGTCTTTTTTTTAGTCCATAAACAAAGTTAAAGACAACTGTGCTAGTACAGTGCAATGACTTTCTAACACTTTGGTAAACACTACATTTTAAAATTATAAGAAAATGATATGTTTAATTTTCCAGGTATGGCAAATGTTGTTGATATCACCATTGATGACCTATATTAAGACAGTGTATTGACACTGTGGATTTATGTTAGTAGAATACTGATATTTTGACCAATGTTAATCAATGGCATCTCCATAACATGGCAATGGAATGACAATGGCTTGATGTTAACATAAAATAGCAGAATTGAACCCCTAGTGGTTTGCCCCCTAGCTAAAACAAAAAGCATTCCTAATAGTTTTGTAATGTTGCATCCGTCCGCCCGTCCGTCCATCCGCATGTGGCGTGGTATCCTCCATCCACACCGCAAACCACAAGAATCCACAGTTTGAATTATGAGTAGTATGAGGAAAAACAACAATATCTAATTAAATAAATATACAAAAAAACATATTCATTATTGAAATGCTAGATAATTAGTGAGCACTTTTATGTAATAACTAGCTACATGCAATGGAAACCAAATTATATAATAGCTTAGACTTATCTTCATGGCAACTTCCAAATACAACAACACAGAAACATACATTTACAGGACTGTCTAATGAAGATGCACCAAGCTACAGAGTAACTGCACGACCGCACGGATGGCGTAGTGGTTAAACGATCGCCTCGCCTGTTTCTATTACGCTGAGTGTTGTTGGTTCGATCCCTACATGGGACAACACTTTGTGTGATCCACAAATTGTTGTTCCGAGTCTGGGTGGTCTTTGTGTCCGTTTCATTAATGTTTGTAAAGTCCCTTGTGACGCAGGACGTATTATTCCTAATGCGGGAGTCCTGTATAACACAATGAAAGTTCTCACAATGATTGGTCTCTCATGCTGCCCTCCAAGCATGATTACCTCGCCTGCTTGGATTATCTTCACTTTGTGATGTAGGGACATAATAACCATTACTCCATAATAGGTTATTCATATGAATTTTATACGGTTTTTGTAGATGAGCAACCATGTATTGAGGCCGCTCCATGCTCCATCCTGTACCAGGCGAATTTCGACACGAACTTCGAAGACCGCAATGGCTTTGTTACCGGTATTGCCAAGTATATTGAGGAGGCCACAGTGCATGCTAACTTGGTAAGTGGAATTATAAGCTCACTTGATAAACTGACCAGCAATTATCATGTTTAATATTAACAACTGGACACGTATACATGACCATCTGATCCCGAGACTGAGCATACAGCAAAAGCTAACCGATGGACATAGCCTACGTAGTATATGGCACGTCCCTCAATTTGAGAAATTTCGTTTGCCTGCTTCAAATTCATCATCATCATAAACAGCCTTTAATAGTCCACTGCTGGACATAGGCCTCTCCTTAGAAAGGAGGTTTTGGCCTACTATATCACGCTGGCCAGACGGGTTGGTATACGGTTAGTGTCAAGTTTTCCTTCTCTCTGCAGTGCTGTTGTCCTGCGTGGTTTGCTCCTTCTATGGAGAGGCCTATGTTCAGCCGTGGACCGTTATAGGCTGTTGATGAACTGACTTGGAAAATTAATGGCGGTTTTGAATTCTATATGCTATATGTTTTTTGCTCTATGTATGTTTATTACCACAGCCTTCCTTCAGATATCAACCGATTTTATACAATATTTTCTTATTTGAAATCTTATATGTTTTGTTTTGCACAAGTTTGAAAAAAAACCCACCAGTAATTGCTGAAAATTATGGAATGAGGTGTACAGTTTATTTTAATTCATCATGATGTAGATTAGAGATGCTTTGAAGTTGTGGACGCTTTTTAAAATGTTGATTTACCTCCTAGAACGAACTGTTAGAAGAAGGTAATGCTCATGCGGTGATGCTGTACACCTGGCGGTGCTGCAGCCGCGCTATCCCTCAGCCCCGGTCCAACGAACAGCCGGACAGGGTGCACATCTATGAGAGGACTGTACAGGTGTTGGCGCCAGAAGTGGACAAACTGCTGCAGTTCATGTATTTCCAGGTATCGTACAAAATACAAAAGTATTTCTAGGAGGTGGAGGACATGTCAAATAATAATATTCTACCACATACACACAACGCCATCTAGTCCCAAACTAAGCAAAGCTTGTACTATGGCTACTAGACAACTGATATAAATACATATATAGTTTTTTTTTAGTAAATACATACATATTATACATAGAAACACCCAGACGAAATCAAACATTAAATGTTCATGCACACAAATGTTTGAATCGAACCTGCGACCTTTGGAATAGCAGTCCGTTACACAAACCACTACGCCATACCGTCGTCGTCTAATATGGTCTTGTTACATTCGAAACTTTCACTCTTCGTTCCTTATCCAATCCAATCCTCTGGAACGTCTACTTTTCGAAATCAGGATAGAACCCAGACGCCTTTTTGTGTATATATGTAACTCAGCAAGTATATATTATGTATGTGTATTACAGTATGTATGTATGTTTGTCCCACTGTTTCTATCCATCTTCTCAATTATTATTATCTTTTTAAAACAAAATAACTTGCACCTACTCAGACATTAACTTACCATCCAAAGGTTGACTGTTGGAAAATGTCTGTGAATGCCACACAGGTAACAGCTTCGTCGCGTTTTTTTTCTTTTTTCTTACAAAAACCCTTTAAATTTTTGTCCTACTGCCTGGGAACTGCTGTCATTAAGACATTCGGACCAATGCCCTCCGCTGTCTGATCCAACCTTTACTATAATATACCTCACACACACGGCCGTCTGATCCCAAACTAGACATGGTAGCTCCAAGCTATGGTAACCAGGCTGCTGATAAACATACTAATATATTATTAAATACATACATATCATAGATAAATTACACCCAGACACAAAACAAATGACCGTGCTCATTTGATTGATTTTTTGCATTTGTCTTGGGTGGGAATCTAATCCACGACCTCTGGCTAAGCAGTCAGGGTCACTAACCACTAGACCAACAGGCCCGTCGTTACTACTTACTATCTACTGATTGTATCTACAGCGAAAAGCGATAGAACGCTTCTGCGGTGAGGTCCGCCGTCTGTGTCACGCGGAGAAACGGCGCGACTTCGTCTCTGAGGCGTATCTGTTGACCCTTGGCAAGTTCGTGAACATGTTCGCCGTGTTGGACGAGCTGAAGAACATGAAGAGTTCCGTCAAGAATGATTATTCGACGTACAGAAGGTAGAGTTGTGTGTTTGTTAAATCTAATTGTTGTTTTAATAGTAGACTGCACGGATGGCGTAGTGGTTTAAGCGGTCGCCACGCCGCTCCCTACTACGCCGAGTGTTGTGGGTTCAAATCCCACATGGGATGACACTTTGTGATCCACAAATTGTTGTTCTGAGTCTGGGTGTTCTTTGTGTCCGTTTCATGTATTTTTGTAAGATTCCCCGCGACACAGGATATTTTCCTAATGCGGGAGTTGTTTTTTCAAAAAAAGAAAAGAAAAGAATAGTGATATCATGACCGCCTGACGCCTTTTGTAACAGAAATTGTTTAACCTTATTTTTAAAATTAATGAAACAAGTAATTTTTATTAAACTTTGGGGATTGGATGATGGAATTGAAATGCATGGAATTTTCTAGACCCTCGTGCAAGCCTGGCCCCTTCACCTCGATTTTAAACGTGTATTATTGTTACAGAGCTGCCCAGTTCCTCAAGGTGATGTCTGACAGCCAGAGCCTGCAAGAGTCGCAGAACCTATCCATGTTTCTGGCCACCCAGAACAAGATCAGGGATACTGTCAAGGATGCTCTCGAGAAGATCAATGGTAAGAGTAAAAAGAGATGGTCGGTTATCGCGGTAAAAAGTAGTCTATATAACTCGCTGATAACGTAGCTTTCCATTAGCTATAGATTTTTAAAAATCGGTTTATTGGTTTAAGCGTGTAGGCGTAAAACAACAAACAAACTCACTTTCACATTGAAAATTGATAGTTATCTGCAGTCTGGCTACCATAGTACAGGCTCTTTCTAGTTCGGAACCTTGCATAACTTTGATAGTCCACTGCTGGACATAGGCCTCTTCTTAGAAAGGAGATTTTGGCCTACTATACCACACTGGCCAGACGGGTTGATATAGGGTTTGTTTCAAGTTTTCCTTCTCTTTGTAGTGCTGTTTTATTGCAGAGTTTGCTTCCTTAGTCGGCTCTTACGACAAGCTAGAGTTGAATAGCGGTGGTGACACTCTGTATTCTTAATCTGTTACCACACGGACAGTCCATCATTATAGTTTTCCTCCGAGCCATCAAAGTTGGCGTAGGCTTTAAGTCGGCTCGCGGTGGTGTCCTTCTGCGAGAACGTGAAGTTGCAGAAGGAAACTGCGGAACGGGAGAGGGAGATCTCGACTCTTTTCCCCGGCCGCAGAAGGCGCACCGGGCGCAGGACGAGGGCGGACAACGCCCTTTTCCGGCCCCCATGGGTCCAGGGGCGAGGGACTTGGGGAAGTCCCCGCCCCCTATTCGATGGACGCGAGGCGGAAGCGCGCGCGGGTGTCGGCGCGCGCTTCTGAGGCGGTGCCCGGGGTGGTTTAACACCAAGGCTTTAAGTCGGCTAAGTTGGCTCTACTGTGATACGGCTGAACTTAGATTTTTTACGTGGAGCAACTGCCATTAGTCCTTCACAACCCAAGTACTAGGCGATATCGAAGTTCTGTAGATAGACTGTTGTCGTACTTTTTATGGTTGAACGAGCTCTCCGAGGCACGGAGGGGTCTCATTGTGTTAAGAAATGGTCACCCATCCATAGATTGACCTTGCTATGATTGCTTAACCTTGCAAAGTTTTAACCTATTAGGTTACCACTTAGCCACGAGCCTTTCGCCCTATTTATTTATGTGTAAAGTTATTATCATGATTTAGGTGCATTCAAGGCGGTGATAATTTTCTTACAGTTATTTCTGTGGCCTGTTGGGCTAGTGGTTAGTGACCCTTTTTTTTTTTGTTTTCCGTGCGGAAATACCCTCGGATACCACCTATCATGTGGCATGTATGACTCGAACCAACTAAAACCGCACGCTTTCTCGGGTACTAATAGCCGGGGAACCAGGTATACCCTAGTAAGGAAGTCCCTGGTGCCCCGACGTACCTCGGGCCATCTACAACAAGTAGACGACCCCCCCCCCAGGACAACAGCACTGCAAAGAGAAGGAAAATTTGACACAAACCCTATACCAACCCGTCTCGCCAGCGTTTTATAGTAGGCCAAAACCAATGGAAGGCCTATGTCCAAGGAGAGGCCTATGTCCAGCAGCTGTTGATGTGATGTGATCATGAATTTTTGGACCTTCCACTGGCCCACAAAAAGCTGTACGCTTTTTATGTAATTTTATGTATGCACAGGTTACGAGGAGCTGCTGGCTGATGTGGTGAACATATGTGTCCACATGTTCGAGACTAAAATGTACCTGACGCCGTCGGAGAAGCATATGCTGGTCAAGGTAACTAGAATTCTACTGAAGAAGGCATTTTTCCCTGGAAGTCTTGCTGCAGCAGGCATCCGGGCTCGATCGGAGTGATATCTCAGCTTCACAGAAAACCGGAGTTAACAATTTTCCCGCATGAGTGAGGTTATTAGGACTCAAAACTCCCCTCTCTATGTCGCAGGGGTCGTAGGCTGGGAACGCACTTGTGACCATTGGGTGACGGAGATTAGGTGACGTGGTTACCGTTTGCCCCCAATACCATAAAAATGAAAACATCAATTAAATCAATTTGAATCAATCAAACTATTTTCTAAAGATTGTTTAATTTGATCATACCGCTCAAAAATTTATATTGCGTGATTCAGGATCTGTAGTTACTATATGCTTCGCTTTGTCGTCACTAGATGGCGCAGACCTAAAAAAATAATCTTGTAACTTTTTTTCAGGTGATGGGCTTCGGACTGTTTCTGATGGACTCTGAGGTGTGCAACATCAATCGTCTTGATCAAAAGAAAAAGATACGTCTCGACCGCATCGACAGAATTTTTAAGGTAAAACATACTTCTGTGTAAATAAAATTGTAGTGTCTGTTTGTAATATCAAAATAATAGGTTTTTTTTTCATGCCCACACGTTTATTTTTTGTCTGTCTGTTTGTTCCGGGTAATCATTACAACGGCTGGACCGATATTCATCATTATCAACTGCCCTTAACAGTCCACTGCTGGACATAGGCCTCTCCTTAGCCTTCTTAGGAGGTTTTGCCCTAGGGTAGGGTTTGTTTCAAGTTTTCCTTCTCTCCTGCGTAGTTGGCTTCCTTAGTCGGCTATTACGACACCCACCATAATAATACCTATATTGTTGCAGAATCTGGAAGTGGTCCCGCTTTTCGGAGACATGCAAATAGCTCCATTTAATTACATCAAGAGGTCAAAACATTACGATCCCAGCAAGTAAGTAATTTAAATTTGACAATATCCGTATCCGTTTGGGCGGGCCTGTTGGTCTAGTGGTTAGTGACCCTGACTGCTAAGCCTCAGGCCGTGGGTTCGATTCCCACCCAGGACAAATATTGTGTGATGAGCACGATCATTTGTTTTGTGTCTGGGTGTAATTTATCTATAATATGTATGTATTTAGAAATATATAAGTATGTTTATCAGCAGTCTGGTTACCATAGTACAGGCTCTGCCTAGTTTGGGATCAGACAGCCGTGTGTGAGATGTGTTCAGTTATTATTGTTATAAAGGTTGTCTGTAAGAGATCGCCGTGAGCGATAAGACCGCCTATTGTTGTACCAAAATGTATATATTATCTGTACAAATAATACTGCAGAGGTTTACAATTAAGAGATAAATAAATAATCATATGTATGTCGACCAAATTACTATCGAAACAAATAACTAAGATCGTTTGATTCCAAACTAGGCAGAGCCGAAGGAAAACTTGAAACAAACCCGTCTGACCAGCGTGGTATAGTAGGCCAAAAACATCCTTTCTAAGGAGAGACCTATGTCCAGCAGGGATATTCATATTTACCTGTTCAATAAGCATGCAGAAGAGTAATAGGTTGCCAATTATTATTATTATGGTCCAGCAGTGGACTATTAAAGGCTGTTGATGATGATTACATAAAAAAATCCAAGAAACAACAAAAAAAGTATTTTCAGCTTTATAGTAGAAATTTAATTCTTGCCTTTACGTTCAGGTGGCCGTTATCGTCGAGTCCGAATCCTCCGTCTCCTCAAGCCGACCTGATGGTCCACCTGCCTCAAATCCGAGAAGAACACCAGAACTACATATCTGAACTAGCCAGATACAGCAATGAGGTAAGGAAGAGCGAACTAGAAACAACCCCCGATCTATGACTTTTTCGAGCCGGGACAGAAACTCGGTAATATCACACCTTTTCTCCAGCGTTTGAGATATCTTGGGATAAAACAGATTTGTTTTTAAATGACCACTGCCGCATTAGGAATAAATCCTGTGTCGCGGGGGACTTTACGAACAAACATGAAACGGACATAAAGAACGCCCAGACTCAGAACAACAATTTGTGGATCACACAAAGTGTTGTCCCATGTGGACGCCCCCTAAACAACACTGTCCAATAAACACAACACATATCTAAGAAATTGAACACTCACTGAAGCACTATCTCACTCCCCTTTCACTCCAAGAAGTCTCTAATTATTCTTTTTGTTTGCATAGGTAACAACAACATTCAAAGAAGCTGGTTCTGATGCTGAAAACAAGACGGTAACAGAACTGTGTCTCCGTGGACTTCAGTTGCTCTCGTCCTGGTGCTCGATCCTCACCGAACTCTGCTCTTGGAAGCTGCTGCATCCCACTGATCATGCCAGTAATCCTAGATGTCCACCAGATGCTGAGGAGTATGAGAGAGTAAGTTTATGATTTAACCGTGGGGTACCGAGCTGGCTCTACCGGGGTAATACAAATAACCGGTGTTAGCAAGTCTTTAGCAGCTTTTCACTGATTGAGTGAGGTTATTAGGGGGCCAAGGGGCCAACCTCCCTCCTCTCCTAACTCTAGTGGGGAGCATTAGAAGCACATTAGACGGCAACGTATTTTAGAATATAATTTACTTAATAAAGCACAGCATACAAATATAAAACAAAAGTTAAAAAAAACTTTCATTTCTGACAGAACTGAAATGACACGTCAATGTGCCACGCACCCAACCACGCGTCTATAAAATTTTACTTATAATAACTATGTTAGTACTTATCAACTAATACTTATCAACCTGTGTACCATAAAAAACCTTTAATGTTGCTGAGGATTGTACGCCATGCTTCAGAAAATAGGTGGACCCTCAGTGTACACTGTGGTGGATAGGTGCCACCTACTATATATAATGAAACCAACAGTATTTAGAATGTCTAATAAAAATCCTTACTTTACTAGAAAAATACCTTATATGACGTTTGGAGATGGATAGTATTTTTTTTACACTTTTTAATTATTTTTTTCTCAGGCAACTCGTTATAATTATACATCTGAAGAAAAATTCGCCATGATTGAAGTCATAGCCATGATCAAGGGCCTGCAAGTTCTCATGGCTCGAATGGAGACGGTGTTCGCTGATGCTGCCAGGAGGTCCATATACGCGGAGCTCCAGGACTTTGTTCAGCTCGTACTGAGGGAACCGCTTCGGAAGGCCATTAAGAACAAGAAGGATCTTATAAGAAGGTAATTATTATTAACAACCACCCTTGTATCTTCAAAGGAAGAGTTATACTATGACATATATAGCCCGTTTGGTGTAGTGTGACTGGAGGCCCATACCCTTCGCCCCCATTATTCTTGAGGGAAGGCCAAATCACAGTTGTGTTTGCCATCTATAAACCATTTAAATGTATCTAAGTTTCGCAAACTATAGTTAAACCGCCGTAAGCTTGGCCCTCCTGATGGTTTGCGGGACGCGGGGCGGGTGATGCGCTCGGCTATACATGACACGATGTACTAACTCGATATCTTCAGATTTATTTGTTTGAGATTTAATCTACACACGATGTAATAAAAATCGAATTTATTTCCATGTATTATAATGTCAGTGTATTGTAAGTTTTTATGATTAATTGTAAAATTTAATACTGTAAAATAATTTTAATAAAATCACCTTATCTTCATCATGTATATATATTCAGATACAATTTAAAAATTAAGTAAAATAATAGATATTCTTTATTAGAACTTTAACAGTAGAACCTCTGCAAGACGAACTTCAAGCTTTAAATCTTTTTGTGAAGCAGAGTCGGCAGATTATCCATGTTGCAAAATAATACCGTGTGTAGCAGTCTTAAGAAAAATAACACGTACAGCCATGCTTTCACGTCAGTCACTGCCGGCGGACAGCGACGCACTAGCTAATTGGTTGAATGCACCCCCGCCCCGCGTCCCCCAAACCATCAGGAGGGCCAAGCTTACGGCGGTTTAACTATAGTTACATAGTTTTTGTTATTTTCTAGTATTGTAGTGTCAGTTCGTGAGACATGCGGTGACTGGGCGCGAGGCTGTGAGCCCCAGCAGGATCCAGCTCTTCGTGGAAAAAAGGATGGGGAGGCCAGCTTTACCATCAAAGTGCCTAGGAGGAACGTAGGTAAGTGGGCAAGGACGACCAAAAAAATATATTAACTGATTTCCAAAAAAAAAGGAGTTTAATAATTCGTTTTTATTTTTTTTATGTTTGTAACGTCAGAATTCAATTGCATATTTGTATTTTTTAAAATTAATTAAAGTAATTTAAAGAAAACGTACCATCAACTATAAAACTGGTGTGGTGACGGATTAAGAATACAGTGTCACCACCCCTATTCATCCCGTGGGTGTCGTAAGAACCGACTAAGGGAAAATAAATAATTACGCAGAACAACAGCACTGTAGAGAGAAGGAAAATTTGACACAAACCCTATACCAACCCGTCTGACCAGCGTGGTATAGCAGGCCAAAACCTCCTTTCTAAGGAGAGGTCTATGTCCAGCAGTGGACTATTAAAGGCTGTTGATGATGATAATTCGGTTTTGTTCTTTATGTTTGTTACGTCAGAACTCCATTGTTTATGAATCGATTTGTATTTTTTTTGAAGTGATAACTTCTTTAGGCGCCTTGGCCATTTTTGAACAACAAACAAAAGAATATATTTTATTGGAAAAAAACATTGAACTCGCGACACTATTACCGTTACTGACACCTCTGTTGAAGTGAAAACTACAGGCCTAACCTGTTGGGCATTTTTTAAGATGGGAAAAACAATTGCACTCGCGACACTGTTACCGTTACCGACACCTCTGTATATAAGTTTTTACTTCTGTGGGCGGGAGTGCCACTGTTTTTTTTTTTATTTGGAGGAGTACACTTCAAATTTGAAAAAAAAAGTATAGTTTATTATGATTCATCATTATATATGCGCATTTAAGTTTTTAAAAAGTTAATTATTATCACAGGTCCATCATCCACCCAACTATACATGGTGCGCACTCAGCTCGAAGCTCTTATCTCCGATAAGTCTGGAGGGAGGAGAACTCTTCGTAAGGACCTGGACGCTGGGACCCTGCAGCAGATAGAGACTTTCCATAGGCAGAGCTTCTATTGGGGCTACCTCTTGAACTTATCAGGTATGATTTCTTTTAGGGGGCAAACGAGCACACGGGTCTGCTGATGGTAAGTGATCATCGCCTCCCATGGACATCTGCAACTCAAGAGCTACCTCTCCCTCACAGGCGGGAGACTCCACTCACTTGGTGAAATGCAACAAAACAAATTGTTTAACACCGGTTTGTTGTGAGGTCGTGGTGTCATCCTCTGATCATTAAATACTAAACCAACAACAATCATCATCAACAGATGACTTGACTTTGACTAACACGGATGGCGTATTGGTTTAAGCGGTCGCCTCGTCGCTTAATACTACGCTGAGTGTTGTGGGTCCGATCCCCACATGGGACGACACTTGATCCACAAATTGTTGTTCTGAGTCTGGGCGTTCTTTGTGTCCGTTTCGTTATGTTTCTAAAGTTCCCCGCGACACAGGATATATTCCTAATGCGGGAGTTGACAACAAGCAGCAGGACAGCATTGCATTGAGTTGACAAGAGCATTGCAAAGAGAAGGAAAACTTGACACAACCCTACCAACCCGTCTGGCCAGCGTGGTATAGTAGGCCAAAACCTCCTTTCTAAGGAGAGGCTTATGTCCAGCAGTGGACTAACAAACGATGATGATGTGAATTGTCAAACCTCGAAATTAACTTCAATTTTTTTTAAATAGAAAATTATTTTGTATTTTTTTGCCAACAGATTCCTTACAAAAATGCTGTGATTTATCCCAGCTTTGGTACAGAGAGTTTTATCTCGAAATGACTATGGGCAGGAAGGTCAATGTAAGTATATCTAGTGAACACGTCTAGAAAACTATCATTACATAATCTATACCAACATAATAAAGCTAGATTTTGTTTGTATAGTTTGTTTGTTTTTTGTTTAAAAATTCATGTTTATCATCGATTCTTCACAGAAATGCATGGTCCGCCACCAACACAACGAAGAATGCAGTGACCTGATCACCATGGAGAAGAGGATCCAGTTCCCCATTGAAATGTCCATGCCTTGGATCCTAACCGATCACATTCTGCGCACCAAGGAACCTGCCATGATGGAGTGAGTATTTTTAGTAGTATATCTTGAAAGTGAAATTGTGGCTCGAAGGACCAAGAAGGATGACAATTTTAAATTACACATTTTTACATCACCTGGTGGTCCAATTTCGACTGTTTCGAATTTCTTGTTTTATTTTACCAACCAGTATATGTTGAGCTATCATTGAGTTTTGTACCAAGACAGTTCAACATGCATACTGAACCCCTAGCTTTATTTATTTTTTATTTCTTAATTTTTCACCCTTAGGTGTGATGTTTTTTCTACAAATTTGAGTGGCATCAAACGGAAAGAATGTTTGAAATCTGTTCATTAATAAAGGAGTTTTAAGATAATTAAAAATACAGTTGAATATAGAACCTCCTTTTTAAGTTGCTTAATAAACATAATTATTCCTAAAATGACATGTTTTCAGGCGCCATATTTTTTTAATAATAAGTACAAGGAATTTTCTTTACATAATTGACTGCACGGTTGGCGTAGTGGTTTAAGCGGTCGCCACGCCGCTTCCTATTACCGCCGAGAGTTGTGGGTTCAAACCCCACATGGGACGACACTTTGTGAGATCCACAAAGTGTTGTTCTGAGTCTGGGTGTTCTTTGTATCCGTTTCATGTATGTTTGTAAAGTCCCCCGCGACACAGGATATATTCCTAATGCGGGAGTTGTCTTTCTTTAGAAAAAATAATAAAAAAATAAATAATAATAATAGTAAATAAGGGGGAATGAGGGGCTCGTGGCTAAGTTGTAACCGAGTAGGTTGGCACAATGCAAAGTTAAGCAATCCTACCCAGGTCAGTCTATGGGTGACCATTTCTTAGCAAACTGAGACCCCTCCGTGCCTTAGAGAGGACTTTGAACCGTCGGTCCCGGTTGCCATACGCACATCTATGGCAACTCCCGAGTGTCATAACTCGGTGTGTTCGTGGGTCACTGCTGTGGATCCTGGCGTACAGGAGTTACAGTGGTGGGCGTGTGGGTGGGATTAGTCCCAAAAAAAAAAAACTGGTAGTTGGACTGCTAGTTGGAGACCCTAAAACGTCCGAAAACGGTCTATCTACAGAACTTTGATATCGCCTAGTACTTGGGTTGTGAAGGTCTGATGGCAGTCGGTCCATATAAAATCGCCGACTTAGGACCCCAACCTAGTTTGCCGACCCCAACCTAGTTTGCCGACCCCAACCTAGTTTGGAAAAAGGGTCGGAGGAAGAAAAAGAAAGATGAATAAATAGGCCCCGGATAAATATGTATTAAAATATACAAAATATATACATAAAATATGGACCAAAAAATCAAAAATATGGAAAAATATGGCGTACAAAATAACAATATCTTTCATTTTAAACTTTGTTTACTGTGAATTATCATTTACTATAGAGTTTGTTTGCCCTTTCTTCTCATAAGGCTCAACCCCTTGGAAACGGGCGGTTGTAGATCGGCACAGGCATATCATAGATTTTGTATGGGTTTGATTTTTGTTAAATTTATTTGGTTACTATTTGACAAAACAGAGATTGTTGCTTTTGTGTGTGTTGATCTATGACTTTAGAGTCTACATGGAAGACGATTTCAAACAATTTTGGAAATTTTATGAAATAAAGAAAGTTTGAGTTTGAGTAAAAAGATGTCATCACATCACATCAACAGCCTTTAATAGTCCACTGCTGGACATCTGTCTCTCCTTGGAAAGGTAGTTTAGGCCTACTATACCACGCTGACCAGACGGGTTGGTATAGGGTTTGTTTCAAATTTTCCTTCTCTTTGCAGGAAAAATATGTATTTACATATTTATCCTGGCCCTTTTAATAATAAAATAATAATAATAAAAGTTCTTTATTTAAAACTAAAAACACAGATTACAATATTTCAAATGTGTTTGATAATGACTGCATTAGTGAAATACTGTGGCGCAGTCACTAACGCCCACCTTTGGATCTGATGCAAACGTTCCATTATATTCTACCACATTACAACTCTAAAAATTAAGCATGTGGAGTATAACGTTGAGGATTTGAAAGTGTATGTGTGTTGTGTGTATCTGTGCGTGTGTGTGTGTGCAGCGGCGTGCACAGGATTATGACACTAGGTATGCGGAGTAGTCGGTCACAAAAACTTTTTCTTTTATAGATTTTTAGCATAGCCAAAGCCACGCGACGGATCTCTCTCTCGGAGTCGGAAACCATGCCAACAGAACAAGTCTTAGATGTACTACTATTCATGTACATCTTCAACGGGAACGCAGACAAAACAGCGATAGATCGTCGCGGCGGAAGAAATTCTAATAAGTAAAATAATAAGCTAAAATATTAACTACTCACCTGCTCATCTTCAATTTTCTGATTTTTACATATTCAAGGTTCCGGTTACACACATTTTCCACACGTACCTCACAATCAAATAACATTTTTAAAAAATCAACGGAACTCAGTAATAAACTGTTAAATGTACAACTTTCAAAAGTTAAAATGAAAAATAAAACTATAATTATACTGGCGCAAACAAAATGTAAAGAATATGGCCGCGAAACACACGAAACATATCTGCTATTTAAACGAACACTTCCGATTACTCCCGAACTAACTTCGGTAGCCTGCCGCTGGAGGCGGGGTAATAAAATATATGGGTGTGTGCGTTTGCGAACTGTGCACGGACACCAAAATTACTACACACATGCGAACAAATGTAATGCGGGACGCGACGGCATGAGTTGCTTTGCGCTTCCTTTTCGGTAAACACCTGGCAAACATAATGTTTGTGTGGTCCTATTTTTAAATAGTAGGCGTTTTTAAGTTATTATATTTTGTTTTTTCATTTATTTATTATTAATTAAAGTCATCTAAAACGTACGAACGTTTTATTAAAATGTCTGTGAATAGCAAGTAAAGCACTGCATTTCTGCCTACAAGGAGCGCACGCCCCTGTGTGTGTGAGAGAGAGAGAGTGTGTGTGTGTGTGTGTGTATCTGTGTGAGCGTGCCTGCGTGTGGGAGTGCATGTGAGTGTGCGTGTTGCGTTATATAATAGATGCGACTAAGTCTTCGGTATCTTCGTAAGTTAGACCAAGCAGCCATTCAGTAACTCGCGATTTACATTCTCGCATAATAGTGGGATATATGTTCAAAATTTTATTTACTTTGTTATACAATGGGGGGGGGGGCAAAGAAGTAGAAGTGTCGCTTAGCAAGTTGCGTTTTACACAATTGTATTATGCAAACTTTGACATGAAACATAATAAATACATGAAAATGGTGTCCTAACAAATATTTCTCTTCAACAGGTACGTCTTATACCCGCTGGATTTGTACAACGACTCGGCGCAATACGCTCTCACTGTCTTCAAGAAACAGTTCTTGTACGACGAAGTCGAGGCTGAAGTCAACTTGTGTTTCGACCAGTTTGTCTACAAGTTGTCCGAACAAGTCTACTCGCATTATAAACAACTCGCTTCCAGGTGAGATTTGTTGACTGACCTGTTGAGTTAGCGGTTATTGATTCTGTTTGCTAAGTTAGAGGTCATAGGTTTGATTTTTACAGAGGATCAGTAATTGGCAGATGAGCATGAACATTTGCTCTGGATCTGATTTTATCTATATGTATGACTGCACGGATGGCGTAGTGGCTTCAGCGGTCATCTCGCTTACAACTCCTGCACTAGACACTAGGAATATATCCTTCGCGGGGACTTACATCCTAAGAACAATAATTGCACAACAAAGACTGCACGAATGGTGTAGTTGTTTAAGCGGTCACCACGCCGTTTACTACCACGCTGAGTGTTGTGGGTCCGATCCCCACATGGGACGACACTTTGTGTGATCCACAAATTGTTGTTCTGAGTCTGGGTGTTCTTTGTGTCCGTTTCATGTATCTTTGTAAAGTCCCCCGCGACACATGATATATTCCTAATGCGGAAGATGTCTATTTAAAGAAATATAAGAATTTTTATCATCAATCTGGTGATAATAACACAGGCTTAGTCTAATTTGGGATTAGAAGGTCCTACGTAAGATGTGTCATATTATAACTGTTTTAATAAAGTTGTAGATTGTTTAACTTATAATTCTATAAAAAACAAAACAAAATTAAATGCGCATTCCACAATACATGAGAAATTATTAATGCACTGTATAAACTATTCAGTGGTGGAATGTTTATCATCAATTGAATTTCGGTTTAGTGATAAAAAGTTAAAAAAGTTCTTGACATTAATAGTTAACTATTTTACTGTAGTAATATATTTCTAGAACTAAAATTTGAATTTATATAAGGGAAAATAAAAGATTCGATAAATTCGATCGAGATAAATTAGTACAGGCTTTGCGGCGCTAAATAACTTCATATAAAAAAAAACTGGCTGGTTTTTCAACGGGATCATCATCAGCCTATCGCAGTCCACTGCTGGACATACGCCTCTCCCAGTGTACGCCACTTAGATCGATTTGCAACGGGACAATTCGGATAAAAGTTCCTTTTAAAAGAACTTTGAAAAAAATCGCAACTTATTGAAAAAATCAAACAGCTGGAAAAGCCGGTTCATGGAAAAAAAAATCTGGACAAATGCGAGTCGGATTCTCCCACCGAGGGTTCCGTACAAATTTATAGGTACATATTATAAATAGTTCAGGAATCGAGTTTCGCAGCTTTCCGAGCTTTTCTCGAGATTACTTATATTGTGTTTAATAAGTCAAGATGTACCTCGATGTTTGATTGCGTACTTTAAATTAAGACTGCATTTTATGATTTAATTAGAAATTTATATTTTTTATATTTTTCTCTGTACTTGTAGTAAAAGACGATGTTACTTGCCAAATTTTAGAATTATAGGTCTACTGGAGTACTCTATCAATTTTGATTCGTTTGAAAGTGTCGAAATATGCGTTTTTTGCTGCATATGCGGCCGTACCTTTTTTTTACGTTAACTTAGAGGTTTGAGTTTTTCATATCTTCAAGGGACTGTAGACTTATATGGTTTTAATTTTAACTCTATACCTTTATGCGTTCCTGAGATAAACTGTAAGACAGACAGGCAGACGGACAAAATAGTGATCCTGGGTTTTGTTTTTTTTCTTTTGAGGTACGGAACCCTAAAAACAGGGAAAAACAATTTTAATACGTTTTCACGGCTCTGTCATGGAACTGGGAGATTAAAATTTTTGCAGAGCTTGTTAACAAAAAAAAATGCCATTTTTTAAATTGTCGTAAGATCATTTTTTACCGGTCGCGAACGGTTTTTCCGAAGCACCTAATTACACTTTCGCAAATTGTTCGAAAATTTAATATAATTTTGAGACGAATTTTTTTTTCAAAGCAAAAAGGTATTAAAAGCTGTAATGGAAGCCCCGAACAGATTTCCTCCGAGTCGCAAAAGCCGATTTTCAATGAACCGAGTTTTTCAAAGTATTTATTTTTAAACTTATACTTTTACCGAATTATCAGGATGAAAAGCCAGCCAGCTTTTTATTTTGTCGATCTGAAAATTCTCAGCCGTATAGGCTGAGAATTTTTTAAATGGCTATAGACGTACTCGCTAAGTTTATAACTATTGTCATATTCTACTGTCTGCAAACATTGATCAGGCTCTTCCGGGGGCCTCTATCTTGGAGCAAAGCGGACAGTCGAGTCGTTAAAAAACAGATGTTTCACTGTTTGATTTTTGACATCGAATCGAATAGTAATAATAGACGTGTTGTGTGTGTCAGCATGCTCCTGGACAAGCGCTACCGCGCGGAGTGCGCGGCGCGCGGGGCCAGCACCGGCGCGGGCGCGGGCCGCTACGCCTCGCTGCTGCGGCAGCGACACGTCGCGCTGCTCGGCCGACACGTCGACCTGTGCGCGCTGGTAATGTACTCACTGCATAGTGGTCAGTGACCCTCACTGCTACGCCTCGCTGCTGCGGCAGCGACACGTCGCGCTGCTCGGCCGACACGTCGACCTGTGCGCGCTGGTAATGTACTCACTGCATAGTGGTCAGTGACCCTCACTGCTACGCCTCGCTGCTGCGGCAGCGACACGTCGCGCTGCTCGGCCGACACGTCGACCTGTGCGCGCTGGTAATGTACTCACTGCATAGTGGTCAGTGACCCTCACTGCTACGCCTCGCTGCTGCGGCAGCGACACGTCGCGCTGCTCGGCCGACACGTCGACCTGTGCGCGCTGGTAATGTACTCACTGCATAGTGGTCAGTGACCCTCACTGCTACGCCTCGCTGCTGCGGCAGCGACACGTCGCGCTGCTCGGCCGACACGTCGACCTGTGCGCGCTGGTAATGTACTCACTGCATAGTGGTCAGTGACCCTCACTGCTACGCCTCGCTGCTGCGGCAGCGACACGTCGCGCTGCTCGGCCGACACGTCGACCTGTGCGCGCTGGTAATGTACTCACTGCATAGTGGTCAGTGACCCTCACTGCTACGCCTCGCTGCTGCGGCAGTGACACGTCGCGCTGCTCGGCCGACACGTCGACCTGTGCGCGCTGGTAATGTACTCACTGCATAGTGGTCAGTGACCCTCACTGCTACGCCTCGCTGCTGCGGCAGCGACACGTCGCGCTGCTCGGCCGACACGTCGACCTGTGCGCGCTGGTAATGTACTCACTGCATAGTGGTCAGTGACCCTCACTGCTACGCCTCGCTGCTGCGGCAGCGACACGTCGCGCTGCTCGGCCGACACGTCGACCTGTGCGCGCTGGTAATGTACTCACTGCATAGTGGTCAGTGACCCTCACTGCTACGCCTCGCTGCTGCGGCAGCGACACGTCGCGCTGCTCGGCCGACACGTCGACCTGTGCGCGCTGGTAATGTACTCACTGCATAGTGGTCAGTGACCCTCACTGCTACGCCTCGCTGCTGCGGCAGCGACACGTCGCGCTGCTCGGCCGACACGTCGACCTGTGCGCGCTGGTAATGTACTCACTGCATAGTGGTCAGTGACCCTCACTGCTACGCCTCGCTGCTGCGGCAGCGACACGTCGCGCTGCTCGGCCGACACGTCGACCTGTGCGCGCTGGTAATGTACTCACTGCATAGTGGTCAGTGACCCTCACTGCTACGCCTCGCTGCTGCGGCAGCGACACGTCGCGCTGCTCGGCCGACACGTCGACCTGTGCGCGCTGGTAATGTACTCACTGCATAGTGGTCAGTGACCCTCACTGCTACGCCTCGCTGCTGCGGCAGCGACACGTCGCGCTGCTCGGCCGACACGTCGACCTGTGCGCGCTGGTAATGTACTCACTGCATAGTGGTCAGTGACCCTCACTGCTACGCCTCGCTGCTGCGGCAGCGACACGTCGCGCTGCTCGGCCGACACGTCGACCTGTGCGCGCTGGTAATGTACTCACTGCATAGTGGTCAGTGACCCTCACTGCTACGCCTCGCTGCTGCGGCAGCGACACGTCGCGCTGCTCGGCCGACACGTCGACCTGTGCGCGCTGGTAATGTACTCACTGCATAGTGGTCAGTGACCCTCACTGCTACGCCTCGCTGCTGCGGCAGCGACACGTCGCGCTGCTCGGCCGACACGTCGACCTGTGCGCGCTGGTAATGTACTCACTGCATAGTGGTCAGTGACCCTCACTGCTACGCCTCGCTGCTGCGGCAGCGACACGTCGCGCTGCTCGGCCGACACGTCGACCTGTGCGCGCTGGTAATGTACTCACTGCATAGTGGTCAGTGACCCTCACTGCTACGCCTCGCTGCTGCGGCAGCGACACGTCGCGCTGCTCGGCCGACACGTCGCGCTGCTCGGCCGACACGTCGACCTGTGCGCGCTGGTAATGTACTCACTGCATAGTGGTCAGTGACCCTCACTGCTACGCCTCAGGACAAATAATTTGTTTTGTGTTTGGGTATACTGAAGACTAATTGAAGACTAAAAACTGACAGATTAATTCACTGACTGATCGATCAACGCTGAAACCGCTGGGTCTAGAAACATAAAATTTTGCACAAACGCTCCTTAGGTGACGTAGGTGGACAAAGAATTTTTAATAATTCCACCCCTAATCGTGCAAAATGGGGGTTGAAAGTTAATATGAAACCTCGTTATTTTTGGTAGTAGAGTTTTCTTACTTTCAGTTAATACTCTTTATCAAAAGTGATAAAAACCTTCGTTACTCATTTTCCAAAACAACCCTTAAAAAGGGGTGCAAGCTTGTATGGGACACTACTTTTTTTTCGATTAATAACTCAGTAATATTCTCTATCAAAAACTATAATAATTAGACACCTATGTTTTTTACCCAATCACGCTAACTGCACGGCTTTCTGGATCTTTACAAGATTTGGGTCATAGACAGATTATAGTCTAAAATAGCACAGAGACTACAATTAAACTAAACAAAACTTAATGACAAACTTGAAATTTCCGCGACCGAAACCGTGGGCAAAACTGGTTTATTTATAATCATCATCAACAACAGCCTTTAACAGTCCACTGCTGGACATAGGTCTTAGAAAGGAGGTTTTGGCCTACTATTATACAACGCCGGCCAGACGGGTTGTAATAGGGTTTGTTTCAAGTTTTCCTTCTCTTTGCAGTTTTGTTGTCCTGCATAGTTTGCTCCCTTGGTCGGCTCTTACGACACCCATGGGATGAATGGGGGTGGTGACAATCCGTATTCTTAATCAGTCACCACACGTTATTTATAATATGTATGTTTATCAGCAGTCTGGTTACCATAGCACAGGTTCTGCCTAGTTTGGGATTAGTCTGTCTTACGTGAGATGTGTGAAGTAAATGTCATTAATATAATTACTAAGTAGTTCGACAAGTTTTGGCTAGATGGCGTTGCACTACATATTTGACGCAACAATAAACGACTACTCTTTTGTTTCGCAGGTGGCTCAGCGAATTAACGCGGACATGCACAGAGCTTTAGATGCTGCAGTGGCCAAGTTTGAAGCCGGAGACATTACTGGCGTCGTTGTAAGTATTGTCCACTCACAAACACACACACACACCAATATTAATAATACAGACAGAAAACCTGGCGTGAATTTATTTCACGTCAATTCGATCGTCAAAGTAATATCACGGCCTCTCAGAATACCGGTGTTAGGCAATTCTTTCGTTGCCCTACAATGAGCGAGTGAGGTTACTGGAGCCCAAATCCCCCCTTCCGCTGACTCTAGCGGGAGGGACTCCAAGGGCGGCAACGCACTTGTGACTTTTGAGTTGCAGGTGTCCATGGGCGGCGGTAGTTGCTTACCATCGAATAACCCGTCTGCTCGTATTACCATATCATACCTTATACCATAAAAAGAAAAACTTTCGACGTTGTGATTAGCCCGCATTGAAATCTTCACCAATCAGAACACCGAACACGCTCGCTCTAAAACAAAGAGAGGATCCTCTGAAAGCGGCGGTAGCCTAGTGGTTAAGACGGTGGACTTCCGATCAAGAGGTCGTGGGTTCGAATCCTGACCAGTACACTACCGACGTGAACCCACTCCTAACACAAGCAATTTAGCTTAGCTGGAGGGGTTAACGGGCATACTAGTAATTTCGTTTAATTTCTGATGGGCCGAGGCCCTGCGGCAGTTGCATAAATGTTACAGTCAGAATTCTAAACCCATCAAAAGATTTCCTTAAGTATTTTCGATCACAGCATCTTACTGTTATAACCTCATCAACAACCTTTAATAGTCCACTGATGGACCTAGGCCTCTCCTTGAGAAAAAAAGAGGTTTTGGCCTACTATGTATGCCACGCTGGCCAGACGGGTTGATATCAAGTTTTCCTTCTATTTACAGCTCTATTGTCCTGCGTAGTTTGTTCCCTTAGTCGGCTCTTACAACACCCAGGGGATGAATAATGGTGGTGACATTCTGTATTCTTAATCCGTCACCTTGGTGACTGGTGACTGTGAGTCGGTTATAGACAAAGATACATGCCATTTAAATCAATCAAAATTCTTTTTTTCAAAGATTACCTTTGTGTTATTTGCCGCCGCCCATTGACAGCGACTCGAATCAGGTAGAGTGGGGGAGGGAAGGGTAGGTTTGGTCTATTTTCTAGATATGCAAATTCTTGCTACATCATAAACACTTGATGAAATGATTGGTTTTGTTCACTGTTATTTCACGTGTGATAAATCGCTACTTAGATATGGTCAGAGACAAAGATCAAAATCAAATATCAAAAGGTCAAATGCCATCAAAATCAATCAAACCAAACTTTTCTTGGCGATAGTGTAATAATAATAATAAATCGCAGTAAAGTTGTAGATGAGTCATAGGTGTGATGAAGAGATTTTAAAATCACATATGATCAATCACATGTGATTGTGATTTTTTCCATGCCTACAGCTTTCTGACCGGCCATCGTAAAACCCCGTTCGAGGTTAAGGCGAAAGTTACTTTTAAATGTTTCAGAAATGATTATTTTATCCCTATTTTCGTGTTTGTTACTTTACAAAAACCTCACTATCGCGTTAGTTAGGAATCCAAAAGAGTCAACCAGAAATTCTACATATACGTTGACAGGAAACCCGCTGAAAGAATCCATTTCGTCCCCAGGAACTCGAAGGTTTAATCTCCGTGAACCGCCTCTGCCACAAGCTGCTGAGCCGCTACCTGACGCTGGACGACTTCGAGGCGATCCTCCGCGAGAGCGATCACGGGGTGCTGGCTCCGTACGGCAGGATCACTCTGCACGTCTTCTGGGAGCTTAATTTCGATTTCTTGCCGAATTATTGTTATAATGCTGCCACCGATCGGTAAGTAGTGGGGGTAGAGGAGGGGAGGGTTTCAACATTTGTCCATAACTGTTTGTAAGTCATCTGGAGGTGGCATTTCGACCGTATTGAAGGTCTTTCAAGGTTGAATAGAGACAAGAATTGACCAGTATATCTTGAACTGTCATTGTATAGTTGTTTTCTTTTATTTTAAAGACAACTCCCGGCACTAGGAATGAATCCTGTATCGCGGGGGGCTTTACGAACATACATGAAACGGACACAAAGAACACCCAGACTCAGAACAACAATTTGTAGATCACACAAAGTGCTATCCCATGCGGGACAAACCTCCTTTCTAAGGAGAGGCCTATGTCCAGTAGCGGACTATTAAAGGCTGTTGATGCTGTAGGAAGCGGCGAGGTAACCGTTTAAACCACTACGCCACCCGTGTAGCAAAATTTTGTACAATGACAGGTCAAAAGATGTACTGAATCTTTATAATGTTATAAACATTAAATATTCCAAATATGAAATGATTCTGTGCGCCATATTTGTTAAAAAAAAATATTTTTCACACATTAATACAGCAAGTAGCCAATACTTTCGGTCAACAACTAACATAAATACTGTCTTTCCAAAAGGAGCTTAAATATGAGGGTTATAAAATAATAATATTCTGCCACATTCACACAACGCCATCTAGTCCCAAACTAAGCAAAGCTTGTACTATGGCTACTAGACAACTGATATAAATACATATACTTTTTTTTTGTAAATACATACTTATGTTCATGCACACAAATGTTTGACTTGAGCGGGAATCGAAGCCGAGACCTTTGGAATAGCAGTCAGTTACACAAACCACTATGCCATTCGGTCGTCAATATATATAAATAAACTACAAACTTTAATATTTAAGTTTATGACTTGAAATTTACATTTTCAGATTGTCTATGCCACTAATTATATAAACTTAGATATCTTATTGATTCATATTATTATTTTAGGTGGTATAAGTCATAACAGTGTGTTCTTTATATCCCCAGATTTGTTAAATGCCGCGGTATACAGTTCGCCGCAAACGTGTCGCGCGAGAAGCCCCAGCAATATGGCCACGCTTTACTCTGGGGCTCTAAACAACTGTCTTTGGCGTACTCAGCGCAATACGCACAGTACAATGGTAAGATAGGCACAGTACTGCTTAATATGGGAGATACAAATGTACCGGCTCCACCGATGTGATGAAACTGGTCACTTGAGGGTGGTCACCATTGCACCAGGGACTTCCTTTCTAGGGTATACCTGGTTCCCCGGCTATTAGTACCCGAGACGGCGTTCGGTTGTAGTCGGTTCGAGTCCGACATGCCACCGATAGGTGGTATCCGAGGGGATTTCCGCACAGAAAAAAAAGAAAGGGTGGTCACCATTGGGTTACCAGTTTGCCCTTATTTTTTTATATGGCAATAGCGATCTGCCCCGGCTTCGCACGGATTCAATGTAGCTACTACTAATACCACTATTGTTATGATAGGACTATACTACAGGACATCTTTAAATGCAATATTTATAGGCCCCAGGCCATAACAGAAAAAGAGAAAACCTAGACACAGAACAAACGGTCTTCCTTACCAAAGAATGATTTGTCTCGAGTGGGAATCGAACCTATGACCTCTGACTTAGCAGACAGGGTCATTAACCACTATACCAAAAGGAATTTCTTGAAAAAAAACCTAGTTTCTGACCACAAGTCTCTGTCTCCAGGGTTCGTGGGAGCTCAGCACCTCCACGCCCTGGTGCGGCTGCTGGGCTACCAGGGAGTGGCGGTGGTGGTGTCGGAGCTGCTGGACGTGGCGCGGGGCCTGCTGCACGGGACCATCGCGCAGTTCACGCGGGCCTTAGCCGCGGCCATGCCACGACACTGCAAGCTGCCGCGGTACGATTATGGATCTAATGGTAGGTAATCATTTAAAACATCTCCTAGACAGAGCCTGTACTATGGTAACCAGACTTTTTTGAAGTAAAAACTTCTTTATTGGGCATTTTTGAACAAGAAACAAAAGAATGTATTTTTTGCGATGGGAACAAACCATTGAACTCTCGACACTGTTACCGTTACCGACACCTCTGTACATAAGTATCTACATAAATTGGCCCCGTTTACACGAGAGTTGAGTTTGGGTTGAAATACATCGAGAATAAAACTATATATAATATAAACACATATTCTGTATATACATACACCATAGATATATATTCATGTCGGAACTTTTCGAATCGAAAAGAAATCCTGTTACAATAAAAAAAAAAACATGTTTTCACTTCTGTTAGAACTTTCGGAGTGCCGTTATTTTTTTATTTATGGAAGGGGAGGGGGGGCAACGAGCAGTCAGGTCTTCTGATTGAAAGTGACCATTGAGTGCTTTTTTCACATTACGCACGGCTGTCGTAGTGGTTTAAGCGGTCACCTCGCAGTTTCTTACTGCGCTGAGTGTTGTGGCTTCGATCCCCACATGGGACAACACAAATTATCCACAAATTGTTGTTCTGAGTCTGGATGTAAATCTCCTCGACACATGATATATTCCTAGTGTCTAGTGCAGGAGTTGTATTTTTAACAATAAAAGAAATAAAATGAACTCAGAGATATTTTCATTTAAAAAATAAAAGCCCAGCCCTTCCTCTAAAATGATATGCAGGGGTGGGAGTTGGGCTCCAGTGACCTCACACAAAGCAACGAAAACAACTTGTTAATTTGTCCTGGATGGGAATCGAACCCATGACTCGTGGCTCAGCAGCTAAGATGACTAGACCTCAACTCTTTGTTTGTCATATTTCCAGGTGTGCTTGGCTACTACCACGCCCAGCTGACTGACATAGTCCAGTACCCTGATGCGAAGACGGAGCTGTTCCACGCGTTCAGAGAACTTGGCAATATAATACTCTTCTGCATGCTTATTGAACAGGTAAATATGAATATCGCTGCTGGACATAGGCCTCTCCTTAGAAAGGAGGTTTTGGTCTACTATACCACACTGGCCAGACGGGTTGGTTTCCTTCTCGTTTTTCCTTTATTTCCTTCTCGTTTTTCCTTTATTTCGATCAAATCATCATACTGTTATAACCTCATCAACAACCTTTAAAAGTCCACTGATGGACATTTGAAAAAAAAAAGGGGTTTTGTCCTACTATGTACACCACGCTGGCCAGACGGGTTGGTATAAGGTTTGTCCTCCGTAGTTTGCTTTCTCAGTCGGCTTTTACGAAACTCACGGGATGAATAGGGGTGGTGACACTATATTCTTAATCTGTCACCCTACGAACAATTTTACAATTTACGGTAATATAATAAAATTTAAGGCTTTTTCTTCAATTTGCCAGGCTCTCAGTCAAGAGGAAGTGACAGATTTATTGCACGCGGCACCATTCCAAAATATACTTCCTCGACCATTCGCTGCTGGTATGTATAATAATAAATAATAAAAATAAAATAATTAATAATAATAACTACACACATCACACACACGGCCGTCTGATCCCAAATTAGGCACAGCCTGTACTATGGTAACCAGACTGCTGATAAACATACTTATATATTTCTAAATACATACATAGTTTTGTTCCTTTCTACCAGTATAACTTGAACTCTCATTGTATAGATCCTAAGCACCATGACAGGTCTGCGTGTATATGAAACATTTATCACTTAAAAACAAAAATATATTCGACTAAAACTGAAAAACTCCTGTTTATTTTGCCTGGCAATTTTCACAAAAGTCATTCTAACTTAATTTTATTTAATTTTCACTTTCTTGCATCCTTTAGAAGTGATTCTGTATGTGTATGCCAATACCACAAGCAAAACATATATCAGCGCCATCTAGTGAAAATCAGTTTAACTATACTTTTTTGTCGTGTTTTTTTTTTTAGAGGGAGAGAAACCGGAGACAAAGCAGAAACGTCTAGAAGCTAAGTACGCCGCGCTGCAGATAGTTCAGAACGTGGATAAATATGGAACTGCTAAGGTGAGTGAACGTGTTGTGTGTCTGTTTGTTTGTCTTAGAGAATGTTTTTAATTTTTGTGTGATTCTAAACACAATGCGACTGACTGTTTGTTCCGCCCTGTCCTGTGCAGCAAGGCCAGTTGGCCCGCGAGGGCGACCTGCTGACCCGCGAGCGCCTGTGCTGTGGACTGTCGCTGTTCTCCGTGGTGCTGCGGCGGCTCCGCACCTGCCTGTCCGCCCCCCCATGGCCCGCCCCACCAGCACCCCCCCACCACGCGCCGCTACACACTGACGACACGCACGAGTTCCACCGGTACTGTCTTTGTTTGTCTGCAAGACTTGCTGCTACACACATTGAAATTCCACTTTAATTATCCTACTTCCCCATACCTTCCACTAGTAATCTGCTCCACTGACTCCTCCAATGTAACGCACCGCCCCCCCTCCCCCCCACCTACATAATGTAACACACAGTCCCCCCCCCCCCCACCACCTACATAACGTCTTTCAACTATACACTGAAGCCCTGACTCCACAATGTCCCCACACATACACAGTGCTGCCACCTACCACATTGTCCCTCATCTACACAAATATTTTACCAAGAATCCAACCCTAAACCTCTTACATGGAATTCGATTGTTATACTACTGTCCCACATAATTTTTAAGTCTAAATGCTGTAATTCCAGGCTGTGGTCAGCTCTCCAGTTCTTATACTGCATCCCAGTAGGAGAGACCCAGTTCACCGTCGAGGAGATGTTTGGCGAGGGCCTGCACTGGGCGGGCTGCACCATCATTGCCCTGCTGGGCCAACAGCGCCGGTTTGAAGCTCTGGACTTCTGCTATCACATCCTCAGGGTACAACGGGTCGATGGGAAGGATGAAATGGTCAAAGGAATCGTGAGTTTCTCCATTATAAATTATTATTAGTATTAAATAATAACTAGATGAGACAAAGTCCCTGACAGAGGTTAAACCATAGTGATGAAGTGGTATCACAACCACACAGAAAACCAGTGTTTATTGTCATTGAGTAAACTTGGGAGAAAACAGATCTTCGCTATTTGGCCTAGTTTTTCATATATAAGCGTGGCCAAGCTGGGGGGACTGACCCCAGCAGGGCCACCTAGATACACTTATAGTTTTTTGAACCAGTGACCGACAAATTCTGATATTTGCCCACAAATTTTGACTAATTAGTGAATAATTTTACGTGTTATTAAAATTATAATCCCTGATGGTGGCCAAGCCCAGTGTTCATCAATTCATTCTTTTTACCGACTTGAAAGGCGGCAATGATACAATTGTGACTCGTTGAGTCTCAAGTGTCTATGGGTGGAGCTAGTCGTTTGCCATGAGGTTCTAGGTTAACTTAAACTATAAAATACAGCCTTATTAAGTAATTCCGTTTATAAGAAAATGTTAAGTAAAAAATTGATAGTTACCGGTGAGTCCTTAAACCGTGAAGATGGAATTCGAAGATATATAAATGTATATATTTTCCAGCCGCTCAAGCGCATGGTGGACCGCATCAGGCGCTTCCAGGTCCTAAACTGCCAGATCTTCTACGTGCTGGCGCGACACCTCGCGGCCGAGGACGAGCGCGCCGGCGTAGAACACGTGCGCTGCTTCCCGCCCCCCACCGCCCCCCACCACGCCCACTAGACCCTCTACCACCCCACCACTCTATCCACATTAGTAATAAAATCTATGACTTAAGAATGAATCATTTAGGCGATATATGTATGAAAAAAAAAGTATTTTGGGAGATTTTAAATTTATTTCTTACGCGACCACTCTAAAAAGGAGTATTATGTGTTTAGGGTTAATGTATATGTGTTTGTTTATTCCACTAGACCTTCTGAATACCTGAACAGATATAGATTTATAGAGTATCATTATAATCCTTACCTCATGATACTGGCTATTACATTCTAAAATAAGTGCATGAGTAGTGAGTTACTAAAACAAGCAGAACCGCACTTCTGCACTAGTTCTAGGTTACGCCCATAAGTAATTAAAACTAATCAAAGTACTATTCCTTAAAATAATCAATAAATGTATTAAATGAATGAGAGATATACGACTCGCGCATGTATCTTAGCATGTACAGCATGCCATGAAGATTCATTTGAATTGTTATTCAATGATGCCTTTTTTTTATGTATTTTATATTGAACTTAGTTATGACAAATATTATTTGCCTAGAAATGTACCTCAAGCCGCAAACGCCCTTACTGAACTGTACCGCGGTGGGCGTGGCTTAAAATTGTACCTTCAAATTTTGTTATTATTTATAAGGACAAATATAATCTTTTCCTATAATGTATAATTGTAATAAGACTTATTATTTAATAATAAAGTGTATAATTAAAAATATTCTTATTTAACCCATTATTTACTTTTTTAACTCGAGACATCTCTCACACGGCCGTCTGATTCCCAATAAGATGAGCCTGGACCTGGACTGTAGGCATTAGACTGCTGATACACATACAAATATACTTCAAGATACAATACAATTCTGCTGGACATAGGCCTCTCCTTAGAAAGGAGGAGCCCCCTATTAACGCTTATAACTTTTTAACCAATGACCGACAAATTAGCGACTAAATTTTTGTGTTATCAAAAGTAAAATCCATGATGGTGGCCATGCCAGGGTCAGGTGACTTCAAAAAAGAGGACGTTATCTAAACAGATGTTTATATTATTTTATAATGTATGTTCGGGCTTAAATAGACGGATTTGCAAAATTCTTTTTTGTTCGAAAGGGGATTCCGAGATGGTCCCATTTCAATTTCATATAGATCTGATCATCAGTTTCGCAGACAAACAATGGAACTCTTCAAAACATGACAGCTCCCTCCAGTCCCCTTACAGATTACCAATTTCTTGTCAATTTTCTTGTCAACTGTTAGTTGTACAACATGATGTCATTTGTCTATCCGTGTGGTAACGGATTAAGAATACGGAGTGTGACTATCACTATTCCTCCTGTGGGTGTAGTAAGAGCCGACTAAGGGAGCAAACAGCGCAAGCGCAAGACAACAGCGCTGTGAAAAGAAGGAAAAACTTGAAAGAAACCCTATACCAATCCGTCTGGCCAGAGTGGTATAGTAGGCCAAAACCTCCTTTCTAAGGAGAGGCCTATGTCCATAGTGGACTATTAAAGGCTGTTAATGTGATGTCATTTGCGGAGATAAAATAAACATTTTTATTATAATTCCCACTCGAACATAATCCTCTTTACAGCACTGTTGGGTAAAAATCGCGCCGAAGTCCAACATATTTGACGACCGGATGGCGTAGTGGTTTGTGTAACGTACTGCTATTCCAAAGGTCGCGGGTTCGATTCCCGCTCAAGTCAAACATTTGTGTGCATGAACATTTGATGTTTGATTTGGTCTGGGTGTTTCTATGTATAATATGTATGTATTTATAAAAAAAAAAGTATATATGTATTTATATCAGTTGTCTAGTACCCATAGTACAAGCTCTGCTTAGTTTGGGACTAGATGGCGTTGTGTGTATGTGGTAGAATATTATTATATTATTATTATATTTAGGCATAATAAATAAAACACAATTAAAATTTCAGGTTTTTATATTATTTCTTAAACAAATATGTTACCTTACCCTAAAGTTAAAAATAAAAAATACGCTAGCCTAATTATTATACAACAAACTTTCTGGCGTAAAGAAATACACAAGTCGCTATTTACATTATCTTGCATCTGACGCAAGAACACGCAAGACACACAAAACGTGCACAATATGACGCGCAAACTTTTCACGCGTTCTTGCGTATTCTTGCATGTCAATGCAATTACTTCGCAATAAAAAGGTGCACAAGTGGAACAAATCATGAACAGTTCTAGGTATATCTTTATTTTCAAATTTAAGTACATAATTTGAAAATAAAAGCGCAGGGAATCAACACCAACACGCAAGTATCCAAACACTAGAAATTTTCCAAAGAAAACTGATCGACCATCGTTGCGCTAAAGATATATCCACACTAGGAGCTTCCATGTTCATCTTGCATCTTCCTTTACCACACGCCGGTTCATGGAGGAATATTACACGCCCTTTAGCCGACCATAATTTGGTCCTATTAATGTAATAGGATTCAAACTTATTGCCTTTAAACTGGCATTTTGGTAATTAAATGGGGAAATTTCGCGTATGTTTGAAAGGGAAAGGCATGAAGCAAATTTTAATACTTCACTGGAGAGTTCGTGATCGTCATTTTCATATGTTTACAAAACAAAATGGACGAAAGTAGAGACAAAAAAGTAAAATTTTATGAAAAATGATTTTCCTTTTGTTGCGGGTTTCCCTTAAAAGTAACGCTAAGTTGCATAGAGTTGGCATAAGCTCATACGCGCCTATGTTGACCGACCAAGACGCTTATATTTATACAGAATTGTATTGTTATCCTTTTCTAATTATTATAAAAAAAAGAGATGGTGCAATTTTAATTTTTAAGTAATAAAATTTTACATAATATTTTTGCCACCATGAAAAATAAACCCATAGCTCAGTAACTGATCGCTTAAGTTACATGCAGAACCCGTTTACCTACCTTTAGTAAGCTGGTGAATGCGTGACGAGAGCGTTACGAAAAGTGTGATCGGGCGAGGCGAACGGGAGTTGAGAGGGAAATATAAGTTAGTGAAGATAGAAAGAGAGTTACGTTTCGTATATTACTGTAAGGTGCGGTCGGGTCACCTAATGATAACTATCGCCAACTAACTTGTGACTATCACCAGCCCTAGACACTTGCAACTCAACTCGTCCTCGACCCCGACCTCGAGCCGCCATTAAGTTTGCATCAGACTGTACCACTCCGGTCGAACCACGGCCCAGGTTCTGGTTATACTCGTCCATATATAAAAGATATTGATATTTAAAATGTCAATAAAATTGTCTATCGTAATACTAAACGGCTTAAAGACATTTAAAACGAATACAAAATAAATATGAGGCCGACAGCCAACCACTTCACCCTAGTCGAATAAATATCATTTTATTAAAAAAAGCGGGTAGTCTATGCGCTAAGTTTTAATTTAAAAAAAATACGCACCACAGCTGTTTTTCTTCTCTTTTCAAAGACAACGAGTGTTATTTTATAATAAATATTTTATTTACATGTTGATATTTTAAAACTTATACGCGTTGTAGGATTTATTTTTAATGATAATTTTGTTTCAATTATATGAGAAACTTAAAAAGTTAAAAAAAAACTAATTATTTCCTCTATTTTGTCAGGTCTGTTGGGATAGTGGTTTGAGATCCTGGCGAAGTGAAGTGATTTCATTTTTGTACTTGTATTCAAAATACATAATGTACATGTACTAATGTACTGTACATGTCCGTGTAGTGAAGGATTAAGAATACGGAATGTCACTACCCCAATTCATCCCGTGGGTGTCGTAAGAGCCGACTAAGGGAGCAAAACAACGCAGGACACCAGCACTGCAAAAAGAAGGAAAACTTGACACAAACCCTATACCAACTCGTCTGGCCAGCGTGGTATAGTAGGCCAAAACCTCCTTTATAAGGAGAGGCCTATGTCCAGCAGTGGACTATTAAAGGCTGTTGATGTGTGATGTGACATGTACTAAGGTACATAAAAATATTTTTTGATTATTTGACAAAATTTACAAGATATTTAATAAAAGAGACTTAATAAAAACGAAATAATACATAGGCTAAGGTGTTCGCTGACCTCTAGCGCTTGTTTGCTACTATACTACAATAACAAGAAATTGGATACTTAATTCTTTGTTATCTAAACTAGACCTGGATTGCACAAGTATGTATTTAGAAATATACAGGGTGTAAGGGACATCGTAACGAATACTGAAATAGTGTATTCAGACCATCATTCTGAGTCGAAAATCGTTGGAATTTTCTGCCGGAAAATTAAACATTTTATGCAATCATCTGTCAAAGGTCATTCCCCGTAGGTATCGCACAAAAGTAATAACTACATGTGTATTGTATGCGAACAGTCTACGCATACTAACACAAGTTGGTGGCCGGAGAAGAAGGCCACGCGCTTCGGCTGTTTGATTAATTACATTGCAGTTTTTGACCGTATGCGGTATTTATTAATTTGTTTTAGGTGAAATCTTCTGTTTACTCATTGTGATATCATTTTTAACAAAAATAAAGGTTTTTTTTTTAAAGATGAATTTTCCAGCATCAAATTAAAATGATTATCGACTCAGATTGATGGTCTTAATACACTATTTCAGTATTCGTTACGACGTCCCTTACACCCTGTATTACCACAGGTTCTGCCTAGTTTGGAATCAGACAGCCGTGTGTGAAATGTGGTAGATTTTTATTTAACTTGTTGTCCTTGAAAAGAAAATATAAATTTACATATTAATATTTACTTATAAATACAGATCAGTATTAACTCTAGTTGTTTCAAAGATTACTTCATTCATTTAAGTTGAAATACTCCAATACAAGTCTGTTAAGTCACTTCTAAGTAGGGCAGTTGTTTGTGTATTTCATTGACATTTGACAATAGCAATGAGTGACGTCACTAATTGGTATTTCTAATAATAAACTTTGATAAAGACTAACCGACTTCAAAGCGTCTATTTCATGACTGATTGTAATAAACTATGTTGTTCATTACTGAATTCTCAACCTTAGCGGGTGGATTTTTGTTTTCAAATTTGAATGGGCCTAAACGGAATGTAAAAATTTATATCTTTAAAAATATACCAAGTCGGCTCATTAATAACGAAGTTCTGAGGTAACAAACATAAAAAAAAATACAACCGAATGGGCGAACCGTCTCCTTTATTTGAAGTCGGTTAAAATGGTAATAAAATTTCGTTATTTTTCACTTAATAATGAACATTGCAATTTCTCGTTAATAATTTATTTAAAACATACCTAACCTTATTATAAATTATTTATACTTTTAAATTAATTAAATTGCCATTTACATCGTAACAGTAGGTATGCATTTCATTATAATTTTACATATTCACTCGAATTACTAAAACCTTATATAAACAACTATTTAATATATATACGTTGTGATCACACACGGGTAAGCACACGTCGGCAAGGCATAGAAAAGGATGGGTGACCGGTAGTGAAATGTCGTGTGCGACCACAACGACCTTACAAGTGTGTTTTATTTTTACAATAAATCTGAAGTGATTTCATTTTTGTACTTATATTCAAAATACATATATTTATGTACTATGGTACATGAAAAGTTATTTTTTTTAAATATTTGTCGAAATTTACAAAATATTTAATAGAAGATATTTAATATAAACGAAATAATACATTGGCTAAGGTGTCCGCTGACCGTTAGTGCTTGTTTGCTACTGTAATAGCATAAACAATCTTAGATACAAAATTCTTTGTAATCTAAACTAGATCTGTATTGCACAAATAACATTAATACTATATTTTTATATGCAATGATGTTGATATTAAGGTGGCAAATAAGCTTAAATGATGCCTGATAGTCAGTGGGTCCATTAGCCGATGTATATTGTAGTAATATTTTATATTTCAAAAAACGCAATAGATTTTGCAACAGTCTGTCAAAAATGCTAATTTCGGCACAATATTGTGCGATTATTTGGACACAGTGCGTTAAATGTGTTAGATTGGACACAGACTGTTAGCTTTAATGATTTGGAGTCTTGGTAATTAAATTAATTATGACGTACATACTAGCAATCCCTACGTAGTTCATTATTTCTTCGTTAGATGGCGTTTAACGAAGTTTTGAATATCTTGTAATTATAAAATAAGTCGTGAGCTTGTTTATATGTTAAATCTTTAAAGAGGGTAATTAAAAGTAAATTTTGACAAATATTTTATGATTTTAATTATACAAAACTGGCAAAAGTATACACAATAAAAAACATAGGTATGTGTAAAGCTTAGATTAATTTATGTAGCGAAATTAATTCAGCGGTATTTTTCTTAATTATCTATTTCCGATCATAGACAAAAATTTTTACTTTTTATTTATTGAAGTTATTTAAAATAGGCAAAGATGGAAGTGTACAGTATGTTTTTCTTCTCTGTGTGTCAACCGTTTTTTTTTATCATTTTGTAACTATTATCGAGTCTTTGTGTCTTAAAGATTCCGACATCTTTAAGTAGCTGGTATTATTATTAATAATTTGAAGATTATTAAGAATTTGATATTTGAGTAAGCCAGCGTGGTATAGTAGGCCAAAACTTCCTTTCTAAGGAGAGGCCTATGTCCAGCAGTGGACTATTAAAGGCTGTTGATGTGATCCAGGAATCGTCAAGAATAACCTTAGCAAGTTCCAGGGACAGTTGCACGAATCTAAGGACCAGCATAACTTTGAAAAGGAAGTCATTTAAAAGAATTGGAAAAATAGTCCACTAAGTCCTTGGCAAAGTGGAAGACGTGACGTTGTCCTAATGTTAAATAGCGCTAAATTCATTTCGCTAACATTTGCAACTACTTTTTTGAATTATCTATTAAATATTAAAAGATAAATAAAAAAATCAATGAAAAAAAAGATATTTTACAAAAACCTTCTAAAATTACTTATTGCAACAATACGATGTCATAGACATCAGTGTTTTTTTTTCACTTTTTTCATATAATCTATGGTATTTATGATATCAGTCGTTTGTGGTAATTATTCGTTTTTTTTTTAAGTTTTGGAATCAATTATATTGGGGGACCCAAAATAAACACCCTTTTGTTAGTAATTTGTCGAAAACTGCGTCCTAAGTGTATATTAATCAAACTATTTTTTTACTACACAATTTTTTACGACACAAAAAACTCGACACAAGAATATTTTTTTGTCGTAAAAAATTGCTTAAACACATTTTTTGTCACTAATCGCCAAACTAAGTAAAAATGGAATTATATTTTTTTATCACAAACTATATATATTTATTTATTTATAGGCTCTAATAGCGGTAATAGCGAGCCCTAGCGGTAAGAGAGGGTCAACAATATTACAGTAATTCCTCTCTCTGTCTAAACGAAATAAAAAAGTATAAACTTTTGAAAATTGATGTATCGATGTGTTTAAAGCTCTAATCTTCAAATTTTTATTCTAAAATATTGTTCAAATGATGTTTAAGATCTAGAAAAAATGTAAAATATAATATAATATTTTTAAAGCAGTGTCACAACAGCTGTCAAAATGTCATAATAGAAGTTGACAGCTGTCAAAATTGTGTAAAAACGGTTTTTATGCAAAAAATGATTTTTATTTAGTATACAAATATTATTGCGTTATAGTCTTGTATGGTTGTATGGTTGCTACCATAACGGAAACTTGTATGCTGTTTGTCACTGGTCATAGTGTTTCGCTTTTCTGTCCATGTCGTCATCTGATGTGCGGTTCATTGGGTGATCTACAAAGAAATAAAAGACAATTAACAATCTTTTTTTTTTATAAACAATTAATTCTATTGTCATTGATTCACCGGTACCGACTCCGGACACAGGGTATACCGGGTACACAGGGTATATACGTCTAACATAAATAATCTTATTTCCGAAGTAAATTAAAAATAATGATTTCTAAATCCACTTTTTTTTAAATGAAATCAACTACTTTTATTCGAACAATAGTAATACCCCTTTCCTTCCCTGCCTACCCCTTCGGAGACACTGGCGTGGTATGTATGTACATAATACTCCTAAAATTAGTCTATCACCCTCACCCTGTGTAACTCTCACGTCGCCGCTACGTAGAACCCATAACATAATTTTATGACCGAGTCTTCAGTGAGTATTTAATTCAATTATAAGACATAACATAAGTTTATGACCGAGTCTTCAGTGAGTATTTCATTAAATTATACGACATAACATAAGTTTATGACCGAGTCTTCAGTGAGTATTTAATTTAATTATAAGACATAACATAAGTTTATGACCGAGTCTTCAGTGATTATTTAATTATAAGACATAACATAAGTTTATGACCGAGTCTTCAGTGAGTATTTAATTTAATTTTAAGACATAACATAAGTTTATGACCCAGTCTTCAGTGAGTATTTAATTTAATTATAAGACACATGTGGTGTCTGGTGATGTTACCTTGGTGTTGGGGCATCTTCGGTACAAGGACCACGTTCCCATCAGCTGCCTGCTGCAACGAATAATGCTGGGAGGAGACTGGTCTGCCTTCTGGATCGCGAAGGTTCTGGAAAAGATATATATTTTAACATTTGTGTAGATGGTTAGAATACTTCAGAGGGGCTTACATGCTAGGTATGATGAGGGTTGAGGAAGCTCGTAAGGTGTAGGCAAGTGGCGAACTGTTGATTCTGCCTACCCCAAAAGGAGAAAGGCGTGAGTTTATTTATTTTTTAGGATATTTAAGAATACAGAATTGACTTATCAGTTTTTTTAAAGTGGTGACAGGCCTGCTTCTGTAATTACGTGACTAAAATTTTGGTCACCTCTACGGAGATTGATCAGATAATTTCTTTGTCATCTGTATAATATTCATTTTTAAATCGTTTCTGATATTCGTAAAATATGTGCGTTCCGTTACGAGTATCTTGTATGTTTTAAATTAATCTTTTGGAGATAGATGGAGGACCTCGCGATTTCGGTTTCTTCTCGAATTTTTTATTTGTTTATTAGTTGGCGCTTCTTGGGGGAGGTCTCCATTCAGCAGTGTACGGCGATGGGCTGATGATCATGACAATAGAAAAAAGTGTAAATGTTAAGTCATTTTACCTGGAATACGTGTCTGTAGAGTGCCGCGAATCGTTCCTTGACCCGCTGTCTCTCAGCCAAGAGGTTCGAGTGGTCCCTCTGAGTCCTCTGCTTCCTGTCTCTGACCGTGCGGACCTCGTCGGCGAGGGACGTGATCTGGTCCAGTTTGCGTTTGCGGCAGTTCTGAGCCGCCACCTGAACATTAAAAATAACTCATTTATTTATCTTATTGGACAATAATGATGATTGGTCTAACTAAAAATTCTGGTATCTGGTAGCAATACAGGGGAATAAGTGCGACTGAGAGAGCAATATTGCTATCCCGCTTTGATAATTTATGACCGAGATAACAACCTCATCCACTCGGCGACAATCAAAGAAAGAATTGTCTAAAACCGGTAGAAAGACGTGATTCAGTTGAAGTCTGTGACTGTACCTTGTTCTTGCCTCGTCGTCGGATGTCTCTGATAAGTGACAGTTGGGCTTCGCTCAGGTCGTGCTTGGACAATCGCTCGTTGAACTCGTCCATCGGTAAGTTAATTATATCGTGAACTTCTAGTGGTATACCTGATGAAGAAATGGGGATTTTAGACATACACTCGTATACATATTATTTATGTTAATTTTATAAGTAGAGGCTTCGGACTTCCCATGAAGGTTTACAGGTACGCGACCCTGACCTACCTGTGTTTAGTACCTAGTACATGAATTATAGCTGTATAGGGGATTTTCGAATAAAATCTTGGGGATTTTGATTATTAGAATAGTGAATTAATGGTGATGTTGGTTATTGTAGTTTTTAATTAAGAACATTGGTTATTAGATATAAAAATAAATAGATATACCAGTGAAAGTTGGACAAAATTCTTTTTAATTAAGAATGTAAGATTTGGGGATTGCAAGAAAATTATCGATTGCTGTATTTTTGTTATAATTTAGGGAGCAAATAATCAAGATGGGTCACTAGATGGTATGTCACTACCACTGCCTGCAGACACCTGCAACACGGGAGTCCCAATTGTCCCACTTTGAGATGGAAGAATGTTCTTTTCTTAAAGGTAATCGCAAAAGGGACTTGCTAGTTTTTGCGACTGAATAACTACCGGGGGATGGTACCCCGACCGGTGCAGCGGGGGACCGACCCCGAGCAGCGCGACCCCACACATCCAACAGCCGTCACTCTCACCTTAGGACATCACCGTGGACAGTCCAACCTCTTAATATTTCTTTTTTTTTCTTGAATTTAATGTCCGTGTACAGAACTGGCGATTTAACCACCAGCAATACAGTCCACTGCCATTTTTTATACGTCCCCCTAGACTCTTAAACACTAGTAGTACAAAAAGAAATTAAACAGTAACGCTAAGAATATATAAGGTCACTAACACACACCTAACGCCTTCGCCCTCTTCTCGTCCCGCGAGAGATGCTGTCCACTGCTCGTTGCGGAGGAACCTCCATCAGACACGCTGCCATCTGTCAATCTTCTCACTGCAAGGAAAAAATATTTTTAAGCTTTAAGTTTTATACTAAATTTGACTACCAAACATCTTGTATACTTGGGTATACTGGTTGTTACAAAAAATAATGTGTAATACGTTATAATTTTTAGATATACATTGTGTTTCAGAATAATGTCTATTATGTAACAACGTGTGGGTATACACTGCGTTATAGAGTAGTGTAGATTATGTAACGACGTGTGGGTATACACTGCGTTATAGAATAGTGTGTATTATGTAACGACGTGTGGGTATACACTGTGTTATAGAATAGTGTATATTATGTAACGACGTGTGGGTATACACTGTGTTATAGAGTAGTGTAGATTATATAACGACGTGTGGGTATACACTGTGTTATAGAGTAGTGTAGATTATGTAACGACGTGTGGGTATACACTGCGTTATAGAGTAGTGTAGATTATGTAACGACGTGTGGGTATACACTGCGTTATAGAATAGTGTGTATTATGTAACGACGTGTGGGTATACACTGTGTTATAGAATAGTGTGTATTATGTAACGACGTGTGGGTATACACTGTGTTATAGAATAGTGTGTATTATGTAACGACGTGTGGGTATACACTGTGTTATAGAATAGTGTGTATTATGTAACGACGTGTGGGTATACACTGTGTTATAGAATAGTGTGTATTATGTAACGACGTGTGGGTATACACTGTGTTATAGAATAGTGTGTATTATGTAACGACGTGTGGGTATACACTGTGTTATAGAATAGTGTGTATTATGTAACGACGTGTGGGTATACACTGTGTTATAGAATAGTGTGTATTATGTAACGACGTGTGGGTATACACTGTGTTATAGAATAGTGTGTATTATGTAACGACGTGTGGGTATACACTGCGTTATAGAGTAGTGTAGATTATGTAACGACGTGTGGGTATACACTGCGTTATAGAATAGTGTGTATTATGTAACGACGTGTGGGTATACACTGCGTTATAGAATAGTGTGTATTATGTAACGACGTGTGGGTATACACTGCGTTATAGAATAGTGTGTATTATGTAACGACGTGTGGGTATACACTGCGTTATAGAGTAGTGTAGATTATGTAAACGACGTGTGGGTATACACTGCGTTATAGAATAGTGTGTATTATGTAACGACGTGTGGGTATACACTGCGTTATAGAATAGTGTGTATTATGTAACGACGTGTGGGTATACACTGTGTTATAGAATAGTGTGTATTATGTAACGACGTGTGGGTATACACTGCGTTATAGAGTAGTGTAGATTATGTAACGACGTGTGGGTATACACTGCGTTATAGAATAGTGTGTATTATGTAACGACGTGTGGGTATACACTGCGTTATAGAATAGTGTGTATTATGTAACGACGTGTGGTATACACTGTGTTATAGAGTAGTGTAGATTATGTAACGACGTGTGGGTATACACTGCGTTATAGAATAGTGTGTATTATGTAACGAACGTGTGGGTATACACTGCGTTATAGAATAGTGTGTATTATGTAACGACGTGTGGGTATACACTGTGTTATAGAATAGTGTGTATTATGTAACGACGTGTGGGTATACACTGTGTTATAGAATAGTGTGTATTATGTAACGACGTGTGGGTATACACTGTGTTATAGAATAGTGTATATTATGTAACGACGTGTGGGTATACACTGTGTTATAGAGTAGTGTAGATTATGTAACGACGTGTGGGTATACACTGTGTTATAGAGTAGTGTAGATTATGTAACGACGTGTGGGTATACACTGTGTTATAGAATAGTGTAGGTTATGTAACGTGTTACAGAGTGTACATTGTGTTACAGAGTGAATACACGTGTGGGTGGTGTGTAGCGGCGCGCTCACCTCTCTTGTCGCGCGCGGCGGCGGGGCGCTGGTCGGGCGCGGCGAGCGGCGCGCTGTAGGTGTGGTTGTGGCGCACGCGCTCCGCCGGCGCGTACGGGAAGCGCGCACCCGCGCCCACCGAGCTCTGTCGCACAACACCACTCTGTTAGCCTACAGATGCTTATGCCCACTCTAACCCACGATAAAAATCAAACTCAAATAATCTTTATTGAGTAGGCTTTAATAGGCAACAAAATAATAATAATAATAAAAAAAGAAGTGTGGCACTCGGGAACTGCCGCGGTAAAGCTATTGCATAGCATTTTTTATCAACTTATGCAATGATAATTATTTATTTATTTTATTTATGCAGTATTTTTTTTCCTTTGTTTTTTTTTCTTTGATATTAATTTGATTGCGGGGCGAAGAGGGGGATTACGCATGCGCAGTAACGCCGATACAACCAATGCCACCTAAAGGCGAGTTGCTGAACTAAAGAGACAAGCGTGATATTTCAAAAAAGTCATTAAAAGTTCTGCCATTCATCGATAGATGGCAAAACTAAAAAGTATCACGTGGGGTGTGTTAGGTTATTTTCGTTACGGAATTTCTGGATTCGGTCTCCACGCTCAAGGCCCGCGATAGAAGCTATGCAATAGCTTAAAAACAAGACACTGGAAGAACAGAGATGAAATGACCCCCCTGACGACCTAAAGGAAAGGTCATCGAGTTCCATAAATACGTTGTAGTCAGTAGCAGGCTGGTTACCATAACACTGGCTCTGTCTAATTTTGGTTCAAACGGCTGTGTGTGAGTCATATCATCAACAGCCTTTAATAGTCCACTGCTGGACATAAGCCTCTCCTTAGAAAGGAGGTTTTGGCCTACTATACCACGCTGGCCAGACGGGTTGGTATAGGGTTTGTGTCAAGTTTTCTTTCTCTCTGCAGTGCTGTTGTTCTGCGTAGTTTTTCCCTTAGTCGGCTCTTACGACACCCACGGGATGAATAGTGACACTCTGTATTCTTAATCCGTCACCACACGGTGTATTCTGTCGTATATGGGATTCGAACCCTAACTGCACCACGATGTATTATATCTTAAGACCGTCACTTAAACTTTTTTTGGTTGAGTCGACAGTTTAAAGTTTTATCATCCAATAAGTATTTAACATTGTTTTAACACATTTTCTGTTCATAGGTCAGATTGACCCTAATAGGTCCGGTTGACCCTATTGACTTAGGGGGTCAACCGAACTCAATAGGGTCAATCTGACCCCTGACCCTTAACAGTATGACCGTACTTTTTAATAATGATCACCCATTCATAGACCAGTGTTATGGGAAATCTCCTTGACCGAGTTTCTTTGACATGTAAGTTAATATCAAATTATTACCTGCAGTAAGGCGTGGCTGGAATGTGCTGTGTTGAGATCTAGGGGTGGTTGGAGGCTGGTCACTTGGGGAGGCGGCAGTTGGTGGCGGGGGCCGAACTCTACTGTTGATCAAAAACAGTTTTCTTTTAATATTATCGTGGAAACCTCTACGGTTCCTCACTTCTAGGCGGTTTTTAATTCAACTGGATTATCATGTTTGTTAGAACTCGCGTAAGTTTATATTTATAATTTGGGAGTAGGGGGGAAGGGAAGGATTCTACTTTTGTATAAATTCAAAGAAAATATAGGGGGAGCTTATTTATTACTGTTTAAAGCATTTTCTTAAAAGAAAATAGAAATTGTCTATGATTCAATCTTTGGAATTCGATAGTCAAAAGACGTTAACAGAACCTAACTTTTAAGCATTCACAATCTGTCTGTCTGTCCGGCTTTATCTACTATACCATAATTTGAAATGTAAACAAAACAAAAAAACCTTTTTTCGGTACTTAAAAAGTAATTTTTCTGATAATACGGAACCTTTTGTGGCGATTCCGACTCGCATTTGACGGTTTTTTAAATGTATAAGTAATAAGGGGTCCATTTACCATTATGCATGTGTATATTATCGTGGTGATAGGTCTGTTCGGGGCACTCGTACTTGACGACGCCGGGGCGCGCCACCGGCTCCATGGGGGGCGCTGGGGGTTGCTCCTGCAACAAACCATTTATAATTTAGCTTTTTGGAAGTAAAACTTCTTTACGCACGCTTGACTTGGGGAGTAAGCTGGTGAATGCGTGATGAGAGCGTTACGAAAACTGTGATCGGGCGAGGCGAACGGGAGTTGAGAGGGAGATATAAGTTAGTGAAGATAGAAAGAGAGAGAGTTACGTTTCGTATATTACTATGGGGGCAAGAGAGAGAGGTGCGAGCACACATTTTCTTTCTCTCTTTCTCTCATATAAATACAAAACCAAATTTAATATTTAATTTTTTTATTTTCTTTCTTTCTTTTCTTTCTTTCTTTCTTTCATAGCCAAGAAGTTTTACTTCAATCGTGTGTTTAGACCACACGTTTTTTTTTATCTTAGCAGACGGGTTACCTGATGGTAACTACAACACAAAGAGAATACAGAGAGAAGACACAAGAAGAAAATGCTCCGCTCGAGTCCGCTCTTTTCTTAAGGTTTGAAGGTGGTGTCGATCCAGAAATACCGCAGCTGAGGTAGATATCGTACAGGTGATTTCAGGAATCGCAGTTGTAATTCCAAGTGGGATACGTACCTGGAAGCATCGTTTCCCGAACATGTGGTGTTTCTTCTGCGGTTGGTGGGGCACGGTGGCGCGGTCGCGTCCATACGACGCATCGTACGGACGAAACTTTGAACTGTTTAAAGAAAAAATTAAATATTATTCAGTTATTTAGAGTTATTATTACTTATTTGAAGTGTGCTCCCGCACTTCGAGTCCCGGCACCAGGAGACCTGCCTGTTGATTCTTGGGGTTTGGGCTTAGGTCTCCTTACTTATTCGTTGAAAATACAACGAAAAAACTGCTTAACACGATGGAAAGGAAGATTTCTTTTGGTATTCTAGTGGGCAGGGCTGAGAGCGACTGGAATATGTACATTACTGAAGAACTTTAAGTTTTAAATATGTTTAAACGTATTTCAGATTAATAATTTCTGACAATATAGAAGGCCGCGTGCATTGGCACTCTTTCATGGAGAAATTATTAAAATATGAAATATATAATATGTGAAATTTGAAAAAGATGTGAGCGCCAACTGAAGTGTCGGAAAGATAGTCTTGTTACACCATTTTCGGTCTCGCTCCGCTCAGAGGGTGTAATGCGCGATAATTAACTCGTTTTAATAAAAACGTAACACCTTTGATCAGAAAATGTATTATTTATGATATTAATATACTTTCCACTACAATACTATCTTAATTAATATTATTTAACGGGAATTAACGCGATTTCTTATTTAGGGTATTACATACCTCTGGTTTGCCTGACGTTTCGACCAGGTTGCACCGGCCGTGGTCACAGGCTGACAGTCAGCCTGTGACCACGGCCGGTGCAACCTGGTTAATTCCCGTTAAATAATATTAATTATCATGGAACGCGAAAGTTTAAAAGTTAGTAATACTATCTTAGTTCCCAAAAATTCAGATTGCCAGATATTTCTAAGTTACGGGGTAAAAAACTTCCTAAATGGCTTAAAGAAATAATGGCTGTGTACAAAAGATTGCTAAGATAAGAACTGACCTGTGAAATTCCTGAGCGGAGTCACTGCCATCGCACCATTCGCCGTCCGAGAGGGAGGGGACCCTCTCGGACCCCATAGAAGACACAGCACTATCAGATGCTGAATCACGTTCTGGGGACAAAGAGTCACATCATACATATAAAACACCCAGACTCAGAACAACAATTTGTGGATCATACAAAGTGTCGTCCCATGTGGGGATCGGAGCCACAACACTCAGCGTAGTAGTAAGCGGTGTGGCTACTGCTTTAACCACTACGGCATCCGTGCAGTCAAAACAATAATAAATCTTTATTTTTCACTAGCTGCACCCTGCACCGCTTCACTGTGGGATATTGGTTACATTAATGAGAACATCACAAAATTGACGCGAAAAAACCCCTACACAACAAAAAAACTTTAAAAAACAACAACTGCTCATTGAGATTGTTTTAATAAGCCCAAACATGGTATATATGCTGTAATTTTCTGAGGAGCTGGCTAGTCCGCAGAATACTTGATGCAGCAGCAAGTTCCAGGTTACCGTGTCGTGGAAATACTATCAAAGTAACAGTACACCAAATTTCAGATCAATCGGACCTGTGGATTTTAGTGAGATCCCTTTATCACCTAGGAAGTGAGCTGATGATTTCAAAATTTATATCTAACAACTATCTCGATTACTCTCTGCTTTCGAAAAAAAAACCTCATCGAAATTGGTCTATCCGTTCGGGAGTTATGATGCCAAAGACAGACAGACAGATACACAGATTAAATTCACAACATCCTTTGTTTTCCGTCGGGGGTTAAAAAATAGAGGACACTTTACCTGTCATCATCATGTGAGTATGGTTGTGATGTGGGGGGTGATGGGGCCCCGCTCCATCCAGCATCCGCATTGTGTACATGCCTGAAACAACAAAAAAAACATCAAGTTACTATATACTATACTATATATATATACTATATATATATTTAATTTTCCAGGTATGGCAATGTTGTTGATATCACCATTGATGACCTATATTACTATTTCGACAGTCTATTGACACTGTGAATTTATGTTAGTAGAATACCGATATTTTGACTGATGTCAATGGCATCTCAATAGCGTGTCAATGGAATGACAGTGGCTTGGCGTTAACATCAAATAGCAGAATTGAGGCCCAGCTGATAAGTGATGGGAATTGGTATTGGTGGTGGGCTCCAGTTTCCGCATTATTTAGACTCCAGGACTGTCTTATATATTTCTTTGTGTGAGGCCGTGGTATCGACCGGAGTGATTGAGTTTTTTACCAACCCATTCCTAACCAAGGACTTAGATAGTTAACAAGAAACAAGGTTAACAAGAAAAATACCAGGCCGCTTCCCCACTTGATGAAGGATCTGCGTCGAATCCGAAACATGTTGTAAACCTAAACGGGCCTGTTGGTCTAGTGGTTAGTGACCCTGATTGCTAACACGGTGGTCGTGGGTTCGATTCCCACCCAGAACAAATATTTGTGTGATGAGCGCGATCGTTTGTTCTGTATCTGGGGATAATTTATCTATAATATGTATGTATTTAGAAATATATAAGTATGTTTATCAGCAGTCTGGTTACCATAGCACAGGCTCTGCCTAGTTTGGGATCAGACGGCCGTGTGTGAGATGTGTGAGGTTATTATTATTATCTACAAAGAAACCGGAATCCGGGTTATTTTTCGTTTTCCGGCCCTTTGAAACAGGTGATCATTATTTTTATTTTATTAACTTATCTATATTTTATAGCTGTCCATTATTACACAATATATTTAAGATACGAGTAATATTTAGGCATATCAATGTGCAGTCATATCGCTCACGGGGATGCGTTTCTAACAATATTTAGGTATTTATATCATCATAATTATCATCAACAGCCTATAACAGTCCACTGCTGGACTGACTGGACTGACATAGTCCAGTACCCTGATGCGAAAACGGAGCTGTTCCACGCGTTCAGAGAACTTGGCAATATAATACTCTTCTGCATGCTTATTGAACAGGTAAATATGCATATCGCTGCTGGACATAGGCCTCTCCTTAGAAAGGAGGTTTGGGCCTACTACACCACGCTGGCCAGACGGGTTGGTAGAGGGTTTGTGTCAAGTTTTCCTTCTCTCTGCAGTGCTGGTTCTGCATAATTGTTTAGTTTTTTGTTGTCTGTTTTATGTTGCATAAACTGGGAAAATTTATTCCTTTTGAAAGGCGCTGACAAAGTCGCGCAGATCACCTAGTATATATTTAGTATATATATTCCCGGGTTAAACATAAAGATGCGTTGAACACAAATTTTTGGTCATAACTTTATAGTTCTAGTCCAAGTTTCGTATCTAATAGGGGGCAAGGTTATTTGCCGTTATCGGGCATTTAAAAAATTAGATAGCAAGATTAGGATAAGGGCTAGGATTAGATTAGGAGTATATTAGGAGAAAAGGTAGATAACAAGGTAAGACAATAGTAGAAATAGAAATATGTCTAACTAGCTGACCCGCGCAACTTCGTCTGCGTCTCTCAATAGTAATAAATTTTCTCCGTTTTTGAAACATTCTTCATTGGTGCTCCGCTCCTATTGGTCTTAGCGTGATGATATTTAGCCTATAGCCTTCCTCGATAAATGGGCTATCTAACACTGAAAGAATTTTTCAAATCGGACCAGTAGTTCCTGAGATTAGCGCGTTCAAACAAACAAACAAACAAACAAAGTCTTCAGCTTTATAATATTAGTATAGATACATAAAATTCTCTTGTCACGGTGTTAGAAGTTGAACTCCTCCGAAACGGCTAGACCGTGAAATTATGTGTGCACATCGGGTAGGTCTGAGAATCGGCCAACATCTATTTTTCATACCCTACATATACCCATACATATACCTATTCTTTTTTTTTTGACAAATAATTTTGAAATAATGTATATGACAAAACAACGTTTGCTGGGTCAGCTAGTAATATATAATATAATAAACATATATTGTGTATATACGTACAGCATTGTTGGGACTTTTCGAATCTAAGAAACAAAAAGAAAATCTGTTATAATAAAAAAATAAACAAGTTTTCACTTCTGTTGGCGCTCCCGGAGTGCCACTATAATTTTGCGGACCCAATCTATACTATTATAAAGCTGAAGAGTTCGTTTGTTTGTTTGAACGCGCTAATCTCAGGAACTACTGGTCCGATTTGAAAAATTCTTTCAGTGTTAGATAGCCCATTTATCGAGGAAGGCTATAGGCTATATATCATCACGCTAAGACCAATAGGAGCGGCGCACCAATGAAGAATGTTTCAAAAACGGAGAAAATTTATTACTATTGAGAGACGCAGACGAAGTTGCGCGGGTCAGCTAGTACAATATAATCACATTGCAGTCAACGTTAGATGTTTAATCCTTTACTAAGAAAATATCTTTTATGACAGTTGTGAGATGGAAAGTTGATCGGAACAGAATGGTAACCGAACTTTTATTACGAGAATTGGTCTTCTGAAGTCAGAATGACTAATCGCTACATAAACATGTCAAAGTTCATTACAATATTGGTATTTTTCGGCAAATCCACAGATTAAAAATTAAAATTTGAAGATATTTAAATTTAGGTTTACTTTTTTTAGAAATGTTACAAATATTGTATTCTTATTTTAAAGGGACCGATACGACCTTCGAACATTCAAGAAAAGGGCGTACTCCTTCCTTAAAGGCTGGCAACGCGCTTGTGACTCCTGAGTTGCAGACGTTCATGGGCGGCGGTAGTCGCTTTCCATCAGGTTACCCGTCTGCTCGTTTGCCCCCTATTTCATAAAAAAACCCAGCTGATGGGTTACCATGGATACCCGCAACTCAAAGAGTTACAAGTGTGATGATGATGCCTATGATGTGTGTGATGTTAGAGTCAGGTTTCCGGAGAACCCATCTCTCCCCTCTTGTGGTGGGGGAATCACACAAACAGCGACAACGTAGTTGTATCACTCAAAATGATCAGGTGTGATATGACTCATGAAAAACCAAAATAAAAAAATGGACTAACCTTCCTTTGCGTATAAGAAATTTCGCCACAGATAATCATATTCCGATTTAATAACACACAGTACACACGTATCGTAATACATTTTAAAGTTTGTAGACACCAATTTTAATAATAACCACTAAAACTTAAAAAATTGTCCGTAACACTAAATAATTTAAAAATAAAATTTAGGCGGGACACCATCGACAATGAATATTGTCAAATCGAATTAAAAAGAGATAGGTCTACACGAGTAGGCGGGACAGAAACAACTGCCATTAATTTTGATAAAAATTTCATACATTAATTTTTATGAAAAAAAATGCCTGCAAATATGATATATCACACATAATTTAACAACAAATCATGGACAATATATTATATTTTTTCAATTCGATGCAAAAATTGGGAACAGACTGTTTTGTGTGCAAATAAGTCAGATTTGCGATGATTAGTGAAAAATTTGTGAATGATTACACGTAAAAACACTGGTATCTTATCGTTTTTTTTTTATCTTTCGTTAAAACAGCTAAATAAATTGAGCTGTCACCATGTTGACTTAACCAGTAAAGGTGGAAGTCCATATTTGTTTTTTATGGTAGGTCTATGGGGAAACGATCAGACCGGTCACCTGATGGAAAGTGAGTATTCCTGGGGATGAACACCTGCGATTCAAAAGACATAAGGGCGTTGTCGGATTTAGGGGATGAAGGGTTGGGGAGGGGGGGAAGTTGCAATAAACCCTCCCTCAATTACAAAAAAGTATTGCCGAACAACGGTTTTCTCTGAGGCAGTGGTAGGTATTACTCCGGTTGCGCCAGTATGTGCTGAAGTATGGCACTCCCAAGCCGTTATCGAATCAAATCGTAAGCATTTTAGACTGAAGATTGACATATCTTATAGTACGATACGATTTAAAGGTACCAGGTCTAACTTACAGGTGTAATGCAATAATTGTAAGTAATTCCCAAGTCCGTCAATTGGCGGCTCAATCAAAAGGCAATTTAAAGTCAAAACAGTCAGTAAAACTAAAAAAACATCACATACACTTATGTCTTTATAAGTAGACAGAGGTATGTTAAACGCCCACATTTTTCCGACTATTATTTTAGTCTTATAATGGTAATATTGTCGCCATGGTAATATTGTTGTTGTAGTATTGGAGACGAGGGCAATGTTATCTGTATCGGCAAGTAATTTATAAAAGCGCGAGCCCTACAATGCTACCTTGGGGTACACCAAAATACATTTTTCTCTTTCGCTAACAATATCACGATCTTTACACGCAAAACTTCTGTTACGTAAATAGTCGGTGAATGAATGATTAAGAATATATCTGAAAACCATATGTTTTTTAGTTTATACATAAATTTTGGTCACAGTGACAGTGTCAAATGCTTTAGATAAATCAAGCAATGTTCTTAAGAACCTATTTCTACCATACATTTGTTGTTATTGGTTACTAAAATTAACTTGAAAATTGTTTGCATGGTTAGTTGCAAATTAAGCTAATAGAAGCGTTTTAATGGACTCGGCAGGGTGTTACTACATTTAAGATAAAAGATCATTTATTATCTGTATATCGACGGCAGAAGGAATATCGCATCTCAGAAATTGGCCGGCTAAGTAGCCCGGAAAAGACTTCGTCGCATTATCTATGTCTTATCATTCTAAAAAAGTTTATAATATAATACAGCATTGGGATTTTTGTAGTTTTGATATCAAAATATTTACGAGTTATTAATTATTGAAATAATCCCTGCCTTAGAAATGGATAGGTGTTCAGAGATATGTACGTCATTTCCGCTTTCTGCCGTCGATGTAGATCAACAACAATAAAGATAAAATAGGTAATTTTTTTGTTGATTCATGTTGTATATTAAAAATCATTATAATACGATGCGATGACACGAAATTTGCTACACTGATAAACTAATCTAGAATGAAATTTTATTATCACTACAGATTACTGAAATGGAACAATGATGTGGCATGTTAATAAATGTGCATATAATGTGGTACTATATTGTTTTTATCATATTTATATACCTAAACTCAGTGTTTTATGTTGAATTATCAAAAGAAATATCAGATTATACTTTGCGTTGGTCACACGTGGTGCTGCCTTCCGACCAATCGGTATTATGCTTTGTTTAACGCAAAGCCAAGAAAACCGGAGGATTTTCGGAGATATTTAAGATTGCGAATAACCGTTTACTTATTTGAATATCCGGAAATTTGCCAAATTAATTACATTATTATCTTTACATGTATGAATCACATCATTACATCAACAGCCTTTAATAGTCCACTGCTGGACATAAGCCTCTTCTTAGAAAGGATGTATGAACATTTAAACTAAATTCTAAAATCGTTGGTATTTAATAAAATCTCTATCATTTATTCTTCTTCTTCTCTGTCGTGTCGCTCTTGACAGAGCGGTGTATCATTTATTACCCTCCCATAAATGCACCTACATCATTCTTTCTCAGCATCGCCCAATCGGTCGACTGGCAGAGAATGCCTCAGGCATTAAGTCCGCTGATGCATGTATTTGTGCAAAACGTTATAAAATAAAATAGAATTCTTCTGTATGTGTGTTTTACAGTATCTTCGGTAACCTTATTCACTCGGTGTAAAGCAACGAAAGAAATGTATTGGTTTTCACTTAGACCGTAGTATCAATTCAGTCGAGCCGGCCCATTTGTGTCGAAACATAGCGGCTTCGGCCCGATCTACTGCCTCAGTGACATTGGCCCATTCGAGACTTGAGGTATCTCTTACTCTACATTTCTCTCCCTATCTGTTTCCTTTACTCCGATTTAAAATTTTACCTTTGTCTCATCTGAAAAGGATTACATGCCCAAGAATCAGGCAATCGAACGGCGATAAAAGAAACCGACCAAAAGCCCTAGCAATGAAATTGGTAAATTTGGCAGGAAAATGCTCCTGCGAGGGCTGCCTTTTTATTAAATGGGAAAAGTAATAAGAGTACCAATTATTCCCAGTCTTCAAGGTCATCATGAGTTAGACCATTGACACTGACATTATCCTTATAACCCCCTGGAGTAAAATCATCTACTAATAACCTCAGTAACTGTAGGTAGTAAACGATCGATCAAAGCAAAATATATTCTATGGTGCATAGTATAAAGATATATAATATATAAATATACGGATTGCCGTGCAACGAAAATTGTATTTTAAGGAGTGTTGGAGACAGTAACTTTTTATTTCTCTTGAAATCTAGGTATTATAAGGGTAATCTAAGGGTAAAAGGTTCTTTACCGCAAGTCAATGTCAAGAGATTTTAAGGAGGCCTTACTTTATCAAACCAGAGACCAAATATAGAATTTTATCAGACAGATGCTTGCTATAATATTTTAATACTTACCATCGTAAAATTTGTAATAACACAGGTATTTGACCGAATCTGGATAAATGATCGGGTTGTAATATGGCGCCATCGAATAAAATGGCGGTGGGTAGTATCTCGCTACAGTCAAGTCCATTTTTAATCGTCGAAAATCTTCTCAATCGTCAATATTTCTTTACGTATCTATTCAAAGTATTTATCATCGGTTTCTTCTTGATAAATTTCCGCATATATTTTAATGAAATTTCTATTTTCACCCATTATATTGCAGTCGGAAATTCCATGACGTATACAAAAACATTTACATATTTAATCGTCATGATCTCAAACCAAACAAACTATTGTTGCCTTATCTTAGATAAATCTTTGAACCGTCAACGATCAAATAAAAGTCTATATTTAAATGAGCATAAACAAAAGTTATATCTTTTCAGTACTGAAGTCGACACTTTTATCATAGATTCACAAGTTGTCCTTTGTTTTCTTGAAGCCATACACAGACGGCACATACACAATGTACCCTCGCTATGCACCCTCGGACTCTTTACACTACTTTGGAAGAATGGCATCGGTACTCCTTTGTAGACTTCAAATAAAAACACTTGTCAAATTTAAAAAACCGTTCAAACTTAGAACGGAGGGCCAAAACGTCAATTTGACAGCAAAGAGTTTATTATTCACGTTAGTTCACGATTGTCTTATCACTTCACAATATAACAGGGCATCACAAATAGTCTATAGACGTATGAATAGATTTCCATGTTTAATTTAAATACTTCAAATTAATTAAATCCAAGTACATAGTTCCTTTTATAACAAGAAACTATCTTTAAATATATACAAACAAACGTTCGATTTTGAAATATTTAAAATTTTAGGCGCCGAGATTTTCGACAGTTACACTTTTTTTTATTGAGGCAATGGACACACCAGAGGCATTGAACAGCTCAAAACACTATGACATACGTTTAAATTTTCACAATCAATGACAATGCTTATCGCTGCATAACCCTCATATACATGCGTTATGCAAATAATAATATCTTATTTATATAGAAAAGACGAGTACAAATGACGATGACTTGAAACGTTATGAATTATAGACGTTCTCGTTGGCTATCGAAAGGGCATAGAGTACAGAATCTGTCTTTTTTGGTATTGAAGTATTTGTTTTTCCGCACTACGGCGTAGTTTGTTAATAATTTCAAATAAAAACGCTGTCACATAAATAAGGTAGGACTTAGCACTTAAAATAATCCTGCATAGTCCTTTAAACCTGTAAACCCCGTTTGGATAGCAATATAAACAATCAGAACAAACGCATCAAAATTTTAACTATTCAGACATCGAACCGGCGACTTCTAATGTATATATACGTTCTTAAATATTGTGACTTACCTTCGTTCATAGCCATATCCATGAGCTGCAGGTCCTCATCATTCAAAATGGACTGCAGGAAACCGTCCTGGTTTGTTGGACCTGGCGGCATCTCGCTTGAAGAGTTCTGGAAAAAATAAAGATACTTATACTACTACTGGACGTTCAGAGGAAGAAATTCTCTCATATCGCTCCGGAGACTCTCCGATTATGAGGAGGAGGAAACTGTAAAACGTAATGATTTATTTAAATACTCATAAATAAATATTTCCTATAATGTACTCTGCATAGCTGTTATTATTTTTTGATATTTAACTAAACTTTGTGACATCTTTGTAACTGTTGCTTTGTGTCTCTATTTCATGACATTGTAGACTGGCCTGTTGGTCTAGTGGTTAGTGACCTTGACTGCTACGCCAGAGGTTCGATTCCCACCCAGGGCAAATAATTGTGTGATGAGCACAGTCATTTCTTCTGGCTGGGGGTACTTTACCTACAATATGTATGTATTTAGAAATATATAAGTATATTTATCAGCAGTCTGGTTACCATAGCACAGGCTCTGCCTAGTTTGGGACCAGACGGCCGTGTGTGAGATCTGTGACGTATATTATTTTAAATATTATAGGAGAAGGTGGTAATGTGGCCCCTGCAGGTATATTGGCCCCCTAACATATTTATGATTTAGAAACGCGCCGTCTAATATAATGCACCTGCAATGCTGAGCTCTTGTGACAGCTACCGAATAGTAACCGACAAATCTGTGAGATGGCGTAACGTTCTTTTGTTATTTAAGGTCATTTGAAACACGCAACGGAAAACATTTAAAACCGCTCTGCCTTTTATTCATTTTTTCCGGAAAATCTAAGCTTTAAGTTAATTGATTTGGACATTGTGTTCGAGAAACGTTTTCCTACTGGATTTTGAAGGTAATTATGCAAAAACATTCGATAATTATATGTATTTTGGTTTGATTTATATATTCATTAATACTTGTAATTTGGCCCCCTCGCATTGTTCCTATTATGGTCCCGGGGGGCCATATAACATGTATGAGCGATATATCATTTCTGTATTCTTTTTAATTTTGTTTTCAGATGCCTCGAATCAGTCTACTACTCCCATCTTCGAAGAAAAGGAAAACATGGGATCCTGATGCAATGAAAATGGCAGTTGAAGCTGTAAGGACAAAGGTCATGGGCTACAAAAAGGCTGTACGCGGCCTTGGACGTGGTCAAGGTGGAATGGGCAGCGGCAGCAGTGCTTATCGACGACGCCAGAGAGTCAGTACATCCAGCGGTAGCTCTGAAAGTGACGCAGTCGTAGAAACTGACTCTGAATATGACCACCATGTCAATTCAGATAGGATCCCTGAAAGCTTGGATACGAGCTGCATATTTTGTGAAGCCAGTCATTTTAGCGACAGACGTGGTGAGGAGTGGATTCAGTGCGAATCTTGCACTTTATGGGCTCATACAGCAGGCTGTATAATAGTATAATATACGCCTTCAGGGCCTGCACAGGTGCAGGCCCTGAAGGCGAATATTATATTTGTGATTATTGTCGTTAAATTTCATTAAAGTCCAATACATTTAATTTGGCCCCCAGGGTGCCATATAACCCTCACTTAATGTCATGTTGTGAAAATTTTAGTTTTCAGAATAAATTAAGTTTTTGATTATTCTGTGGTTATTTTCTTTATTCTATAGTTAGGCATGCATAAGCCAATGAGTAAGGAACACTATGACGTACTTGCTTTATTTGTAAGTGTAGTATTTTTTACATGAGGCCTGAAAAACAAAGTAGGGGGCCACATTACCACCTTCTCCCACTATATTATATTAAAAAAATATTTTGATTTTTTTCAGTGACATCTTTCCCTGCTATGATTTGTTGTGATATTTTATTGCATTGAATTTAATTGCCGTTTCTGTGTAATTGATTAAATGTTATTTTTAATTTATATAAGTAATTTAATGTATCTTTACATAGGCGACTAGATGGCGTAGTGGTTTGTGTAACGGACTGCTATTCCAAAGGTCGCGGGTTCAATTCCCGCTCAAGTCAAACATTTGTGTGCATGAACATTTAATGTTTGATTTGGTCTGGGTGTTTCTATGTATAATATGTATGTATTTACAAAAAAAAAGTATATATGTATTTATATCAGTTGTCTAGTAGCCATGGTACAAGCTCTGCTTAGTTTGGGCATCGGTAAGTGTAAATGGCAACTGGTTTCAATGCGGTTTTCATCAATAGAGAGAGTGATTCACGAGGAGGGTATATATGTACTATGAAAGCTAAATTGACTGATAGAATACTTGTATACTTTTTTTTTGTACATACATACATATTGTACATAGAAGTCAGCCACACAAATATTTGCAGATCATACAAACATTTAGTCCGACCCGGGAATCGACCCCGAGAGAGCACCACCGAAGCAGTCGCTGATAGTCAATCTTACCTGATAATAGAGACCATCGTGCGGCTGAGGATGCTGCGCCGACTCAACTTTGTAAGCGCCATCTAGTGGCGCGGCCGCTCCAGCTATGAAACAAAAATAATGACATATGTCATAACTGTCAAGTTAGAATGACGTTAAAAAATATCGAAAAAAATAATAACATTAATGCTTTCTTATATTACTTTGACTAATAATCTTATTTGTATATAAAATTCTCCTGTCACAGTGTTAGTTACCATACTCCTCCGAAACGGCTGGACAGATTTTTATGAAATTTTGTGTGCACATCGGGTAGGTCTGAGAATCGGCCAACATCTATTTTTCATACCCCTAAATAACAGTGGGATGACCCACCCCTAATATTTTTTTTTAATATTTTCTAATATAATGTTCATGGCAAAACAAAGTTTGTCGGGTCAGCTAGTAATATTATAAGTCTGTGATATAAAACACAGCGCTAACTAGACCCTTAATTTACTTTTGAGCGTGTGGACCTCGGGGCTTTACTCCGACCGTGGTGTGTCGGAATCGAACCGACTAAAATTACACTGAGTGTCATAGTGCGCTTTAAATAGGAGGGATGCGGGGACAACTTAGCGCTATCTAGACCTGACCTAAGTATAGCTTGTACAGTGCACAGTATTTTAAACATTTAAAATGGCGACCTAAATACAAATTGAAAAAGAAGGAGTAACTTTTTTGCAAATTTTGATTCTGTTTTAACTTTTATTCATATTGGTTTTAGAATTTAATTTTATAAACGTTCTTTTGTTGATAAAACTACTGACAGTTCAGAAATTTATTAAAAAAATAGTTGAACAGCCATCAGTAGTGGCATATGCTGTGTAACATCTGTCATCTCACGTGCTATCTGATGGAACAACTCTAGCAGCGCGCTCATTGGTCAAATCAAATAGCGCACACTGATTGGCACGGCTTCCTGTTACACATTTCCGTTCCTCTTCAAGCGAGAGGACGGATGTTACACATCAAAGCAACATGTTGAATTTAAATAGCGCTCATACCGAGCCTAAGTCAAAAGTTATTATATCATTATCACCATAAGCGTCTGGGTGTTTCTCTGGAACAGGCGCCGGGATGGCGGCGTGGTAGTTAGGGGGGTAACCACCAGCCGCGCCATGTGCCCTGTGGAGGACAAACAAAATTATGAACATTACTGAATCTATACCTACAAAATGACCTGCTCTGTCAGACTGATTCATGGACGCAGAGCCCAAACCACTGGGGTTTTGGCAACTGATGTTTTCTATGTTGTAAGAACCTAAGAAAGGATTTTTGGAAAGTTTCCCCTTTGAAGTCATGAACGGTGGAATAGGTTCATCATTTTCAAAGTTAGAAACGTTAAATAATCACGCTAACGAAGCCGAGGGCAACAGCTGGCACTGATATATTATGCACTTATGTTAGAGAACTCTGCTTTCTCGTCAGTGTAGTCCAGCAGTGGACTGCAATAGGCTGATGATGATGATGCTCATTTTCATTTGTTGTTTCTCCAGCACTATGAATATATCCTGTGTTGAGGGGGACTTTACACACATACATGAAAATGACACAAAGAACACCCAGACTCAGAACAAGAATTTGTGGATCACGTAAAGTCTTGTCCCATGTGGGGATCAAACCCACCCATTTTTTTTTTTTTTTTTTTTTTCACATTCACACAACGCCATCCAGTCCCAAACTAAGCAGAGCTTGTACTATGGGTACTAGACAACTGATATAAATACATATATACTTTTTTTTGTAAATACATACATATTTTACATAGAAACACCCAGACCAAATCAAACATTAAATGTTCATGCACACAAATGCTTGACTTGAGCGGGAATCGAACCCGCGACCTTTGGAATAGCAGTCCGTTACACAAACCACTACGCCATTCGGTCGTCGCAGTTACAGCATTACAACCCTGCGTGAGCTTTTTTTAAAAATTTTACACATCACACACGGCAGTCTGATCTCAAACTAGGCAGAACCTGTTCTATGGTAATCAGACTACTGATTAACATAATTCGTATGAGTATCAGTAAAACATATTTAAATTTGTATTTTATAAATGCTTGGGCAGGAAATCGATTTCAATCCCTAAATTTCTAGACCACTCTTGGCCGCTGTCCCACAGAGATCATCAAGGACGTATGTACCTACGTAGGACCTGTAAAATATATGTGTCTGTACTAAGTGCGTCTGAAGCAGTGCTACACAGACTGACTAACACTTAGAAATGGACTTTTACAAAGTATGTGTCCCTACAGACCTAAATATTTCTGACGAAATTTAATTGCAATACTCCTCTCTATATCCCCTCGGCAATATACAGTCGTGAAGAAATAACTTACGTAATATTATGCGGGTGCTGATGATGGTGATGGTGATAATGTTGGTACTGGTCCGGTGGTGGTGGGGGCGGGATAGTCAGAAGAGAGGCCAGGTCCTGCCACCGCTGCTCAACTGACATAGAGCGCATCAACGACTGTAAGCAAATAAAAAATATTTTTCAGAAAAATTCACTTAATTAATAATATACAGATAATTATGAAATAGATGCAATGGTCCGTGTGGTGACGGATTAAGAATACAGAGTGTCACCACCCCTATTCATGCCGTGGGTGTCGTAAGAGCCGACTAAGGGAGCAAACTAGGCAGGAAAACAGTACTGCAGAGAGAAGAAAAACTTGACACAAACCCTATATCAACTCGTCTGGCCAGCGTGGCCAAAACCTCTTTTCTAAGGAGAGGCTTATGTCCAGCAGTGGACTATTAAAGGCTGTTGATGTGATGCAATGGTAGAAAATAAGTTGCTATTATATATATACATATATATATAGGGTGTAAATCAGAAAATTCATTTTCGACTCAGAATACACTATTTCAGTATTCTTTACGATGTCCCTTACACCCTGTATATCTATCTATAAACTAGAGATAGCCAAAATCTTTTTTTCGGCTGGGTCTCCATTTAGGAAAGTCACTCACTTAGTTAAAAACAATGAAATAGTTAGTAAAAACCAGTTTTCTGTGAGGCATGTCATAAAAGTATGACGTTCCAAAGGTTTAATATTGTTACGTAAAACAAAAATTTGTTGTTTTTCTTATGAAAGTATTTTCTGTTTTTTATATAGATAACGCGTATCATCATCAACATAATAATACTCTGTATCATTATCAGAAGTAGATTATAAAGAAATTTTGTTTTTATTATTACTGCCTTAAATAAAATTCCATAAAAGATCTGCAAAACATTTTGTTTATTTAAAAAGTTGTAAGTTTTATAAGGCCAATGTTTAAATCATTTTAAATCCATTCGAATAAGACAAATATACGTCACGATAAAGTTATGTCTTTAAGAAAGATTAGTACTGCTACTCTCCGATAGAGTGGTATTAGTATTGCTATTCACCGCTAGATGGCGGTAGACTACTCCTTGTATGTACATACTTAAATCATTGGTTTGAGATGAAATATCGTGTAAATCGTATAGAAACTAAAAATTATTTAGAAAAAACATGTAGTATTGTAAACTACGAGTCCCATATATAAGTACTAGTTGTTTTTGACAACCAATGTGAGTTTTAAATCGATAGAATCTTTGGTGTAGATGATTGTATAATGTTTTATGGTGTTGTAGAGGTACGGGTGTCATGTCCCTCCAACACAAAGAGAGGACCAGGCGAGGTCATCATGCCTGGCGGGCTGCGGCCCAATGATTGATGTTGGGAAGCGGCGGTAACCTAGTGGTTAAGGCGTTGGACTTGCGACCAAGAGAGAGAGAGAGAGAGAGGTTCGAGTCCTGACCAGTACACTACCCACGTGAACGCATTCCTAACATAAGCAATTTCAATTTTTACGTGGGAATCGCCACAGTATCTTAGAAAGGCGTGGGCAAATTACATGGGGAATTTTTAAATGATATAGGGAGGTAAACGAACAGACGGGTCACCTGATGGTAAGTTACAACCGCCGCCCATGGCCACATACAACTCAAAAGACACAAGTGCGTTGTCTTCTGTAACCTAAGTCACACATCAAAACAATGTTGTATATTTGTATATTTAATGATGCCATCGTTATCTGTTGATTGAAAAAAGAGTGTCCGTGAGTTTGTTTGTCCTTTCTTGTCATGAGGCTCAACCCCTTGGAAACGGGCGGATGTCGGCACAGTCATATAAAAGATTTTCAATACATATATATTTAGTTTACTAAATATTTGACAAAACAGAGATTGTTGCTATTGTGCGTGTGTTGATCTTATGACTTAGAGTCTGCACAAGAGAAGATTTCAATAATTTTTTTTGTGAAATAGAGATATTTGCGTATGAGTTTATCCCACTTTAAAAACAGAGGGATTCTCTACTGTTATTCTTTTTTTAAATTAATGTTGTAAACACCAAGACTCCGTAATTAGTGAACTGATTTGTGTCTTTTTTTTATTTCCGAGAGTACTCTTCTCGTTTATCCCATTTTAAATATAAAGAAAAAATACCAACCAGAAGGAAAATTAAGTAATGAAGAATACAGTATCTTATAAGTCATCATAATGCAGGTAGGTACATTAATGTCGGTAACACCTACTTTTTTTTTAACTTAATCATGTTCTTTGCGTCCGTGTGGTGACGGATTAAGAATACAGAGTGTCATCACCCCTATTCATCCCGTGGGTGTCGTAAGAGGCGACTAAGGGAGCATACTACGCAGAACAACAGCACTGCAGAGAGAAGGAAAACTTGACACAAACCCTATACCAACCCGCCTGACCCGCGTGGTATAGTAGGCCAAAATCTCCTTTTTAAGGAGAGGCCTATGTCCAGCAGTTGACTAGTAAAGGCTGTTGATGTTGTTGTTCTTTGCGAACGTACTCAGGACTTAGGAGGTTGAAACAAATGTGATAATTAATAACAACCGTACACATCTCACACACGGTCGTCTGATCCCAAACTAGGCCCAACTAGGCCTGTACTATGGTAACCAGACTGCTGATAAACATACTTATATAAGTATTTCTAAATACATACATATTATGGATAACTTACAAGCAGACACAGTATTGTGTGATTGTGCTCATCACACAATACTATTTGTCCTGGGTGGCAATCGAACGCACGACCTCCGGCTTAGCAGTTAAGGTTATGAAACACTAGACCAACAGGCCCGCCAAGGCAATAGAAAGTATAGGTTACTTTTAACCGCAACTTGACCACCATAAGCGTCGGTTTACCAAAAATCACGTAATTCCGTTAAAAAACGCCTTTTTGACGCGCACACATCCGTTACCCGTAGATATAATGTTTTGTTAGCTAAAACAATATTGACATCGAAAGTCCGCCATGTTTATTCTGAGATTTCGCGCCAAATGAACGAGTTTACCTTGTCTTTGGTTTTCTTCGTGTTTGAATTTCGAACATATGTTTTTTGAGGGAAATAATTTCTAAAGAGGTTTGATAGTTTAACCATATCTATCATTTTGACTGCAAAACAGAAATATCGACCTCTGAATGGGTCTAGTTTTCCACCGTTAATACTGGTATTTCTTCTTCAAGTTTTAATGGAACCAAACGGCAAGTATACCCTCCCAAACAAAAAAAAACAAATCGGTTCACAAACAACGGAGTTCTGAGGTAAGAAACCAAAAAAAATTACATCTGAGTTTCCATTTCTTGGAGTCATTTAGAAAGATAAGTATGTTTACTCGCAGATTGAACGGTAATTCCGCTGTATCTAAGTCCGTGTTCAAAAAAACATGTGTTTTTATACACCGTTATGAAAACAAGCATTCACGAATTGACAAAACTACACTTGAAGGAACATTACAAAATCATTTCCACAAATACTTGAAAAAAGTTACATTTCATTCTAAAAATTAGATTAACAGTGAAAAAATAAACCGTTTGACGAATATTGTCGTGGTGAAAACTGTTCATCAATATTGACTGAACACTCGAACACAGCAAACAGCCAACTCAGTTCTGCCTGTCATGTTTGCTTGACGGCACGCGCGCCGGTAGCTTAATTAAACAATTCTTTATTTGAATTCAAATTAGAATTCGAAAACGTTATAGTTTCTATTTTTTTTTTATTAGTTTATGGTTTCTTAGTTGGCGCGAAGGTATTGTTAAAGCAATTATGTGTTTTGCTTAGTGTTTACATTCGAAAAAAATAAGTTCGTTGCTTCTGCCCGTGGTTTTACTTGTAATATTTATTTTTCTATCTCTCTGTAATATTACTCTTTTCCTGAATAAAAGATATCATAGATTTATTGTTCTGTACACCTCACAAAGTGTAGGCTTAAAAAGAGGAATCCTTTTAAAAATAAGTTGAACTGACTTCAAACAATACTAACAAAGATTACTAAAAACTTAGCAGCAATTGCGGTTGATTTGCTGTCATTTTTTGATGAGTTTCGATGACTCTCTCATGAAACTATTATCAGATCTATTTGAAATTTAAATGGGACCATTTCGGATTAAAATCCTTCCGAATAAACAATAAAGAATTTTGAAAATCCGTCAATATATGACGGTGTTATGATCGAACATATATAAAAAAAAAACCTCCTCTTTGAACTCGGTTAAAAATATTTTAAGTTGGGGGTAGTTTTATTATTCAAGTAGCTAACCCGCGCTATTTTGTCTGCGTATCTTTAAAGGAATAAATTTGTCCCGTTTTTTGAACATTTTTCATCAATGATTGGCTCCTATTGGTCGTAGCTTGTTATATAGCCTTCCTCGTTAAATGGGCTATCCAACACAACAGTATTTTTCAATTCTAACTAGTAGTTCTTGAGATTAGATCGTTCAACCAAACAAACTTATGATATTTGAATAAATTTATATTGTTGTAGCTTAGATTTGTACTCGTAATTAAAAGCATTAGATCTACCACAAACAGTAAGTTGCCCCTTAGATACTAACATTAGCACGTGGCATCACTTGCTCTATGTGAAGTGAAGTGAGCTGATGCCCTTCAAAAGTTATAGCTAAAAACCTATTCGAACACATGGGCTTTCGAACAAAATTCACATCGAAATTGGTCCAACCGTTCGGGAGCTTAAACTTATAACAACCCTCGTTTTCTGTCGGGGATTAAAAATGCCTAACCTCCACCCCTCCTTCTGATTCTAGGGGAGGAATCACAGGGCGGCAATGTATTCGTGACTCCTGAGGTACAGTAAACACCATCAGGTAACCCAGGTGTCTGCTCGTTTGCCCACCTATTCCATAAAAAAGTTTCAGGTCACCTGCTGGCAAGTGACTATCGCCAATACAAATGTAACTAAGTCACAAGTGAGATGAAGGCTTTGCAAATACGCCCGTGGGAGAGCCATGCTTCGGCACGAATGGGCCGGCTCGACCGGAGTGATACCACGGCCTTACAGAAAAAAAATCGGTTGTCTGTAAAGTCGGTTTACTGACGATAGTTGAACGTGACAACGTCATAAGAAAATACTGATGGAATGGTTGCATTTTTCAAAAATGT